TGGCAATCTTGAGCGGCTCAACTTTTACATCCTGTGTGGCCTTATTTTTCAAGGTACATATTGTTCGTTGGATTTCGACAGGATCAGTTGGCGAGATGAACATGCTCTCCTCAACCTGGCTGTCTAAATATCTTGCATGCCCGCCAGGGTCGAAAGTGGTACGCGCACTGATCTGATCTTTGATTCTAGTTGCTATATTAGCAAAGTACGCGTTGAAATGTTCAGCAACATCGCGGTTCGAATTTATCAAGTTTCCATCATCTCTCCTCAATTTGAATTTGGAATTTTGCTTAGCTTTCCTGCCTAGAAGTTTATTTATCATCTCCCACTGTTTCTTGGAATTGTACTGATATTCTTCAAAGTATTTTTTGTGGTATTTGTCCCTTGCTAGATTGATATGTTTTTCACAAAAATTTTTCAATTTTTTGTACGTAGCAACATTTTTCTGTGTGGGGCAAACTGTGGATTCAAAATACATCAAGTTTTTTCGAGCACACGCGTCTTCAAGCCACGGCAGAATAAAAGGCTTGGGGTTTTTCCTTTCATTCATCCTTCTGACATGCTTAGATTTGATTGGATACGCGGTGTTATAGTGCTTGTTGTAAATTTCGTTGAACTTATCATACTGCTCATTAGCATCCATGTTTGATGTTATTTGCTCCCAATTTTCAGCGTCGATCAGTTCGTAAAATTTTAAGTTATTAGCGGCGTTGAATGCACGTGTATCACGCTTTTGTGATCGTTCGGTTTTGGATCGATCATTAGCAGGACTGTAAGAGAAATCACCAAGAGAGATCGTAGTCAAGGTGGCAAAATGGTCTGAAATGTCAACTGTCAGGACATTGCAACTGAGAGTATGCTGAACATCGTTGCTGTAGACATGATCAATTAAGGTCCTGCTGTGACTTGTAACTCGTGTTGGTCGTGCAACAAGCTGAAAAAAACCGTATTTCGACATGGTGTCCACTAGATTTTGGCAATGTACATTGTTGCTGTGGTTTATGAGGTCTAAATTAAAATCTCCAGCAAACATTATGTGTTTTCTGTTGTGACGGTCTAAGCTTAATAGTACGGAATCAAGTAAAGCTATGAACTTATCGGGGTCACGTGATGGAGACCTATAAACGTCAACAATTAGTTTGGTTTTGTTGAGTCCTTTACAGTTGTTAATTTTCACCAACATGAATTCACCTGCCGATTTGGTGATCTCATCTACGTCCCGGAGATTAGGAATAAATTGTTCAATATTCTCAAACTCACACACTCGCTTATTGATATAAATTGCAAGACCACCACCCCGACCCGAAGTTCTGTTTGGGCCCTTAAGTAGAGGTTCATGGAAACCCTCGAGTAAAATATCAGTTACGCCATTGGGCAAATTGGATTCAATGAGATTGGTTTCGTTCAGACATAGGACATCGTACTTGCAGTATGTTTCTATGTTTTCTCGCAGGTGTTCAATATTCTTGATCAGCGATCGAATATTCAGTGAAAATAATTTCAGCTCGTTTGCTCCTGAGTTCTGTACGTGCTTCTGTTCCTTATATCTACATTCTACCAGTATATTTGAAATTTCATCAAAGTACTCCCTGTCCTGTTCATCATCAAGTTGATTACCTATATCATTTGCAATGTTTTCTCTATCATATGGATTAAAAAATAAGTCATGTAGGTGGCTGTAATCATCAAGTAGATGGTGTGGTTCGTAGTTGAAACCAGGAATCATAGATTCACAACATGTTTTACAACCTAACTCGTGTTTCATACACTTGGAATGTATACTTTTTCCACACCAGTTACAATATCTTAGGTTTTTTGGTGAATAGCACCATCCTGCACAGGAATTGCATTTAACTTTGAATACAGGCCCGAATGCAGGCTTCTCGACTGGTGAATGGCACGCATTGATAGGGAGGGCACTGGCTAAACAATCGTAACAGGTCCAAGAAAAGCCTGAAGATATTATGTGCAGGGAATCAGATTTCGAGAGTCTCATACATTTAGGATGCTTGGTGTCGTTGCAAAGTGAGCAAGTAAGCAGAGGCGCGGTTTTTGGAATACGTTTGTTACATTTATCACAAACTTTCGCTTTAGGTAAGCTTGACATTTAAAGATTGCAATTACCGAGATTCACCGATAAGTATTTATACCTGCGGTCTCTATATATAGATATACCAAGAGAAAGAAAAAGGAGGAGGAGAAAAGAGAGGAAGAAGTAAGAAAAATAAGAAAATTAATTTGATAAATCTAACGAGAACTTTCAGTTCTGTGTGAGAGATTATCGTCAAAAATTAAAAATTGAAAAACGAAAAACTGTGTTTACAATTTACTCTTTACTAGACTGAAAATTCTACTTTTTGGTTACCTAGCAACCGTAGAGATTCAGACATTTTATGTTGCACTTGGCAACAGCTTGCTTGTGTTGTTGTAAGTCACTAGTCAGTGTGTCTGTCAGTGTATCTGCATAGTGCAGAGTGTGTACAATGTATTTCAGTGCCGAGTACATGGCACCGGAATCGCGTGTGGCAAATTACGTGTACTTAATTACTTTTTAATGTAAGTCGCCTTATCATCGGCGTTATCTCTCTAAAAAGAAGATTAGACATTTAATTCGCTACTCTTGCATCAAGTTACAAGGCCGAGCATAAAGTTTGTAGTAAGTATTATTTTGTTGGAAATTGATTTTGTTTCTTGTGTTCAGTGCATTTCTAAAGACTTAAATATTTGGTCACATACGATTTATACTTTGATCTCTAGATTGAAACTTTACTATTCTGTTAAATGGATTTATCGTTCATTTCCAGGACTGAGACTCTTCATGCAATTTCACAAAGTCATAACGTAGTGGTAAAGGGCCACGTCTAAATCCAAGGCAGACTAATACAACATGGACCCAGGTATCAGACGTGACTTTCTGTCCGCTGTAGTTAAAGTGTAGGCCGTCACGTGCTAGATGACCCCATCCGAACGATAGGTTATCAAACAGATGTATGTTGGCATGACGAAGGGAGCATTTAAACATAAGCTGATTGAAGAAGTTAATGTTCGGGTTCAGTTCATTGTACGGGTCTGCATTCATGGTCACGTTTGTAACGGAATCAAATAGAAACTGGGTTTTCGGATACTGTACGACAAAGTTTCTGACATGATCATGCAAAATTTGGGCGTTCACACCATTTTTCCTCATGTCGTTTACCCCAGCACTAATAAGAACTATGTCCGAGGATTTGATAGATTCTTTGTGTTCCTCAAGATCGCGCAGCAGGAAGAGATTTTCGCGGAAGGCAACTACGGGCGCTTTAAACTTGGAACAGTCGAAAGAAGAGTTTTTACTGTCTGATAATACTAACACCCGTTTGGGTCGCTGAGGTTCATTGGCGGGGATTTGTGGGATGTTAGGGGTCAATTTTCGAAGTGTTATACTAATCCTCGGCCTGTCAAAATTAGCAGGATCAACCTTGGGGACGGCATGGTCAAAACTATCCTGAGATTTACGTGACATGACGTAGCACTCGCCGTGCTTCACAGTTAAGCTCTGTTTGCGGTATTCGCCAGGTGGGCGGCGACGGAAAACAACTTCTCGAGCTCCCCCGAAAGAAACTGTGAGAATATTACTATCTCTAGCTATACACTGTTCATCATCCGAGTGAGGGGGTATGTAATCGTCGGGGGTATCATACTTAGTCACCATGAAGCTATTGAACTCGGAGTAATCAATATCATTTGATTTGCACATATCCGCCACAGCAAGTAGAATTTCAGTGAGATATGAATCCTTTGGCAAGGCCTTCTTCTTGTGATAACCCCCAGTGTACTTGTAAGGTAAATCGCCGAAGTAAGTTACTTTCCTATTCGCAAAGCTGCACTCAAAAGTCAGTTCAGAATTAAGCTTTTCAAACTCAAACCTCTCGAGAAAGCTACCGGAATCCAGTGCGATGAAGGGCTGCTCCTCTATATCTTGAACGTGAGAAGTTTCCGTCACTGCCGTTTCAGGGAGGGTGGGTGGGGGGTGGGTGGCGGGATCAAGCTTCTGTAGGGAGGAGACGAGATCCTTGGCGTCTTCTAAGCTCTTCTTTAGATCTGTCATCGTATCGTTCGCGGACCTCGAAAACAGTTGTGTTAGTTTAGTGAGTTTGTTAGTCGTCTCGCTCGGTGATTGGCAACACACATTATCTTGAAGGTTCAATTTGAGTAGTTCCTTCTTTTTAAGGACGGTTAGATTACAAAGAGTTTCGTCGTCCATTCCGAAAGATTTCAGCTCCCGATCGAGCTGGTATCCTACTAGTTTACCAATCAGGTCCATGCAAGTTGCCGTGGTGAAACAATATGTGCGACCGCTTAGCTCAGTCTGGGTCTCCATTTCAGTCAAATTGCAAATCGAAATGTAGTGACTTACTTTAGTAGGGAGGTTTTTGTGGCTTTTAGGAAAAGGACCGCTCTGTGTCGGTACCACTGAGCCCGTGAGTTCGTCTGTTCGTCTGTTCGTCAGTAGTTACAAGCTGTATGCTGTAGCCAGTGCGTCGTAAAAACGGCTTATCTCATCAATTAGCGAGAGAGATAAAAGACAAACATATACGAGATGTAAAAAGTGATATGAAAGTGATATATGTTGTTAAAGTTTAAACCTCAGATAAATAGTTTTGTAAGCAGCTTGGTCTGATTCAGGGTTCCTGTCACTGTAGTTAGCAGGGGTAGGCAGTGAGAAAGAGAAAGTGAAAGAGAAAGTGAAAGAGTAATGTTGTTAAAGTTTAAACCTCAGATAAATAGTTTTGTAAGCAGCTTGGTCTGATTCAGGGTTCCTGTCACTGCAGTTAGCAGGGGTAGGCAGTGAGAAAGAGAAAGAGAAAGTGAAAGAGTAATGTTGTTAAAGTTTAAACCTCAGATAAATAGTTTTGTAAGCAGCTTGGTCTGATTCAGGGTTCCTGTCACTGTAGTTAGCAGGGGTAGGCAGTGAGAAAGTGAAAGTGAAAGAGAAAGAGTAATGTTGTTAAAGTTTAAACCTCAGATAAATAGTTTTGTAAGCAGCTTGGTCTGATTCAGGGTTCCTGTCACTGTAGTTAGCAGGGGTAGGCAGTGAGAACTGGTTAGTGAAGTATAACAGGTACTTTCCAAACTCTGTCAACTTTTGTTGCTCTTCTGTCTGATCAAGGAGAGATTGAGATTTTAGCATTTTAGTATTTTAGTATATGTTTTAGTTATAACTTATATGGTATGTTAATATAATATAATATAATGTACGGTATTTATGTACAGTATTTATCATAACAAGAGAGAAGTTTTAGTGCAATGAATTAGTTATTAGATTTAACTAGTTTATATTATGGTATAAATCATACTGCAGCTATGTCGGTAAACATTAAGTATAAATCACGATTAAGGTTTAAAAATACAATATATATATAAGTTATTTTATATGAAAACAGTTAAATTGTAAAAGCCTTACCGAGTAGTGGGAATCGTTGGCAGCGATAAAATCTGTAATTGCTTTTGCTATGGTCGTACTTTCAAATGGTGGCTTACCTGCAACAGAATAAAATAAAGTCAACTTTTCTAGTAACAATTTTATGGTAGATATTAACAAAGTCCAATTAATTAGGTTGTCAGATCAACATAGACCTTGTTATTAAATAATGTAGATTGTAGAACTTAAAATTTCCGAATGAATCTAATCTTATATTATGTTTTATCAGTTATCATGCATAATTTCAGGTAAATATGATAAAATTACCAAGTGGAGTTTCTATGTTAGGTTCTGACCCTTGGCTTAACGACTGCCTCAACAGTTTCACTAGAACAGAGTAAACATTCTTCTGGACAGGTTCAGTCTCCCTGAAAGGTGTAAACCTATTGTAACCTGGTAAATTGTAACCTGGTAACCTATTGTAATCTGATAACCTAGTAAACTGTAACCTATTGTAATTGTGGGATATGGGAATATGAGCGAGATGTGACATTTTTAGTATCTTCTTGATGATTTTTGAAATTTCAAAAAATTTAGGTAATGCTAAATGATTTGATACCTGTGATAAAAACTGTAGAGTAGCTCAATATCAACTGTCATGTCTAACATCTTCTCCCGCTGACTTGTAGCCATCGATAATATCTTGTCCAGATGGTACTAAGAGATGAACAACTATCAGATATAAACTACAAATCTAAGTAAACAAATAAAAAAATTGGTCATTTACAGAGGGAAATCAATAAATTTGCCCTAACTTAAACTCGTTTATATTATACCATACCTGAATTGCATGGCTGCAAGATGAACAATCTTTTGAAGGAGCAGAAGATCCTGACTTCCAAGCTTGGCATGAACAGCCTTCAAACCCACATGTTGAATATGATGCTAGACGCTCAAGCTGTGGTTAGATGACGTTAATATTGACTATTTTGTCATGGAATTAATTTCAATATTTGTTTCATAGCTAACAGTCTTTACTATCAGTAAATTGAAAGTTGTGTCTTTAGATTTTCAACCTGTAAACAGAACAATCTTTATTATTCAATCCTGATAATTCAGCTTTAATTAACCTGTTTTGCGTGAGGCAGGTTTCGTAAGGCTGCTTTGCTGGAATTCCCGTTTTGCTTCATAGTCTTTACTTTTTCGTTACTCTCAGTCATTACTCATATCCGCTAAGATAATAATAAACTTAAGTGAAAGGTACGTAGAATGTAGAAGATACATTTCCCATTGACGGATAGTTTGATTATTCGAAAAAATACACGGTTGTGAGCAAAATGTTGAACATTTAGATGGCCTTTTTTACAGTTCTAGGATATTTAAAATATACAAGACATTTCTGGCATCAGAATTCAGAACCGGTTTAAAATTGAGGTTTAAATATATATAATATATATTATATATAATGTAGGGCAATAATTTATCTGTGTTATATCATGCAATTAAATGCTTCCCATGAGAAAAAAGCATTCAACAATCATCATATGCCAACATTGAAAATACCTACTCATAGAAAACTAAAAGGCATTATATTTTAAAAGAGTAAAAAGTCACTGTGTGTAAAATTTATGATAAACATCAAAATTTCTGAATAGATCAGAATTAAACAAACAATTGTTAAAAATTACTAATTATATACTACCGAGAATACAATATCTACATTGTACTATACTTCATTCTCGTCGTCACGTTTCTTCTTTAATCCACTCCTGTATAGCCTGAAAATATGTCTGTCATCATCATGTTTATTTGTTTGGTTAGAGTTTTAAACTTAATTGATTGGAGCATTGACATTGCACATAGCTCATAGCTAATAAACTGCTAAATTATAGAAATCCATCTTTCCCCTTACATTTTGAACATGCAAAATAAATAATAACAGTTGGACTAACCCTGGCAATGCGCAGCAGGCAAGATCGATGTTTTACTCCACTGAACACCTCTGAAATAATAAATAGAAACTGAGTTGAAAGTCTTTCACTTTCACTTTCACTTTCACTTTCACTTTCACTTTCACTCTCACATCTTGATTTAACTGCGATTCAAGTAAAAATCTGGGCAAAACGCTCTGGAGCGGAGTGCAAAGAATCTTGTATTTGACGACTGACGTCCACTGAGATCAATTCTCTTACCTCCACGATCTTTGTGTTGCATGCACCCAAAAGCCCTCTCGAAAGCTCTTACCCCACCATTACAGTAATCTGTAGAGCTGGAAAGAAGTTTCCACTTTGGGTTGATACGAATGTTCTTCTCGAGGTAGTCTTGAACAGTTTCCACCTCCTCGTTAATCGTAAAAGCAATCGCGATCGTCTGCAGATATTTACTGTTTAGTTCACTGATTCTACCGACCGATGACGCCAAGCAATATCAGGTCACTAAAAAATGTCATTTCTAATGTTTTATAAACTAATATAAACTTAAATAAGGGTGCTACTTAAGTTACCTGAAACCCGGTATTTGTTTTCAGAGCTAAAACATACAATGAAACATTCTCGTTAACTGCGACCTTGTGCGTTGAGTCACAATAAACACACAAGTTCTTGACGTATTTCCTCTGCATTTGGCACATGAAGCCTGTTATTGAGGAGCATGATAATGTGAAGTGCTCTGACAAAGTTATATTTTCTACAAAGAATTGAACAGGCACATTTCAGATAATTTAGATTCATAATGATAGGATAACTTAGGATGATATTATACCAAAAATGCTTCAATTATTGCTTACTCGTCTGTAAAATGAGCATGGAGTTTCCATGGTCCCCATCTCCGCTCCTAATAATATAGTACCCGCCTGGATCTTCAATCCTCAGCTCTTCTATTAATCTTGTCATATCTGGCACATTTCTGTCCCACCCAGCTGAAAATTCTATTCGTTAGCAAACCATAGAAAAGTAAAGCAAATTGTAAAATTGGACTCGTGCTCCATCCGCTACCGCAGGAACGGTGTTCAGAACCCAATATTATGAGAATATCATTCCAGACAGTCAGTCCAGACAATCTTCTAACTTTAAGGAGATTCCATTCCCAAACAATCCACTAAAAACCTTAGTATCAATTCAAGAGCTTTAATTAACCTTCTTCGTCTTTTTTCAGGATGTTTCGTATTTTTTCGGCATTTAAAGATCTTGCTTTATCCTTAGTGACCGGTTTTATGTCTTTCTCTGCAGTAGTCACCCACGGGCGGTCAGGACGAAAGATGCAGGTAGACGTCCGAGTGTGCTCAGAGTTTTGGTGGTTTTCTGAAATTAATTTGCTAAAAACAAAACAATATGAATTGACCAATTTATATTTTTACAATATTAAACAAATTTTGTTTCGTGGATATTATACCAATTATCAGTGCCTTAAACTTGTCATTATTATTATTATGATAGTCTGAAAACGACTTTCCCAGTAAATGCACGATTTTAAGTGAGATGTTATTAACGAACCGGAAGTGACAACACTATCTTCCCTATAATTTAACGGATGATTATGCGCCTCCTCCACTCTTTCGATGATAGTCACTAATTGGAATTTAGCAGCCTTGATGTTATTTTTCAGCGATTCCATTAAAAACCTTTGCTCAGATTCATTTCCCTGTAAGCAGCACTGAAAAATTAGCGTAAATTATTTAAAAGTATGAAAATAACTATTCAAATTAAGTAAGGAACCAATAAAACAAGGGTTTCAAAAAGTAAATCATGTTCCACAACTCCCCCTACTCCCCCTCCCCCACTCTCCCTCCCCCTACTCCCCCCAATCCCCCTCCCCCACTCCCCACTCCCCCTGCACCCTCCCCCTCCCGCCCCCCTGTCCTATTGGCGGATCAAGATACAAAAGCACCAACACCATGAGGTTCCATTCTTTCCCTTCAGTGGCCTCTGCTTTGTATAATGCTGTGCCTCACGACATCAAGTCTATCCCAACCTTGCCAAAATTCAAGGCAGCACTTGATTGCTTTCTTCATACCGTCCCCAACACACCTCCTACCCCTGGATATACAGGGGCTAATGGCAATTCAATCTTGGGATGGGCTTCGAGCAAGACATGATAACAGAGACACCAGTGGTGGAGGCGCAAGATGTCTTGGCCTGGGCGTGCTAGCCTGAAACGAACCCAATGTAGATACTGGTACCCCTCCCCACTCCCCCTCCCCCTCTCCCAACAACTCTCCAAAAATCCCCTCCCCTTTCCCCTCCCCCAACTCCACCTCCCCCACAACTCCCCCACTCCCTCTCCCCCGACCCCACAACTCCCCCTCCCCCACTCCCTCCCACAACTCTTTACCTGATATTCATAATACAATTTGTACTCCGAAAGCTTTATCAAACATGGACAGTCTGTACAAAGTAGGAGCGGCTTAAACCTGCGTCTTTGTCTCTTGGCCTTGGGGACCTGATAAATATACATTGTGCGTGTTTATAAGATTATATAATTAAATAACTACTTAAAATAATAATACAAATTAAATACTACTTCAAGTCCGGGAATATTCCAATTGTATATAATGCGCATTCAACCATATTGGTCAAAATATCAATAATTTGGATAATTGTACAAAACTTTGCCTGAGTTGAGTTAAAACTCAATTATTGAACATTACCAGTTTATTTGGTTTATTTGGTTTCGATCCCCCGTTGTGTCTACAACGCATTTCAAACACTTTTGTCACCATTACTGGGTAATTCTCTAGCTTAATTGCTTCTGTTCCCCATACCAGCCGACCATCTGGAAAAATAATATATCATTTAAACACATATATATATAATAATAGAAGAATAGACACTCTATAGAATATATAATATGTTTCAGTCACTAGCAGCAATTAGAGCGAGAATGCTATTTGTGTCATTGAGATCAAAAGTTACACAATAGCTGAATGATTCGATACCACTTTGGATCTGTAACGTTAAGTAAATAACGCGATTTAGCTACCTCTCTTCCTTATTTTCTTTCTCCACTTCAAATTTTCTGATCTGAGTTTTTCCTCTTCTATCTTTATCGACACTTCTTCGATTGATTTGTCATGCAAATATTTATCTTTTGCCTGAGATAATGAGATTTAACCATTCATGATAGCTAAAATGGTAACTAAACCAGTGGCGTAACGTTACTTTGTGCCGCCCCCCTGCTGATTGAAATTTGCCACCCCTATCCTATAAAAAATATTTGGGGTACCCTTTTTTGCTTCAGGGGGGCGCAAAAAGCTGTAGGGGGCGAGAAAAAAAGTACCCAACCTTTTTTTTTTTTTTTAGGGACACAAAAAATTTTAGGGGGGCGCTTTTCGTCACTGAGCGGGGGGCGCCAACAGGCAAAGTTATGCCACTGAAAAATGGTACCCCAAATATGTGTTTCACGTCGACTGAAAGCTAAATTCGACAGGTACACCCATAAGGCGCTTTTTCCGTGAAATCAGACCTACAATCCAGAGAAAAATGCTGCCCCCCTAAGGTGCCGCCCCCCTGCTAGCAGGGGTAGCGGGGGCGGTCGTTACGCCACAGAACTAAACAAATATCCAGACATAAAATTTCGCCCTTTTAAAGGTTTAGATTTTAAGGGGTCGAATACCAGAAAAAAGGAGTAAAGATTGGTTCAAAAAAATTTGGCCCGTAATTAAAATAAGGGCACAATTCTGACCAAAAACCTTTCTCTTCTATAGTTAATATCGCTTCACAAGACTACTAAATTTACTTACTCCCAATGAATAAGTGTTAGTAGAAAAATAAAACTCTCACCAAGTGTCCCATAACGTCTTGTTTCTTACAAGGAGATGTTTTCTGCTTGTTTATGAATTCCATAACGTCTTGTTTCTTCATGCTTGGTATCCCAAGCGCGACAGAGTCTAATCTTTGGAAGGGTGGTGAGTGAATCCGCTTATCTTCAAGAGGACCTTTGGGCCTGGTATAAAAGTATCGAGGTTATCCTCTAGCCATATTGGAGCAGCATATAGAACTTTTGTGAGAACTACTGTTTTGAAGAGCATTTTGAGTGAGCTTGCATTCAGACCTGTGTAGCGGGCGGAGTTTTGGGTGATCTTGTGGCAGGCAAACCAGCATTGTTTGAGTTTTAACTAAGCGTCACCCTTGGAGGTAAGCTTGTTGTCGGTGCTTAGTCCAAAAACAATTGATTGATATGTATATGTAATCGGTCTATTGCCGACAATGAATTGTCTAAAGGTTGTGACATCAGAATACCAATAATTATTTATTATAGTAGAATGACTCGTAAGTTTCTTCCCGATACGCTGGACACCCAGATCAAGAATGTTCTTAGGATTAGAATACCAATTCAGTACATATATATTGAAGTGTACTGTAACCATAATACTGTGCTATACTATACATCTGGACGTACCTCAATAAACATGTTTTGTGTTCAGACAATAGCCATTGTATTGTAAAGATTGAACTGATTTGTATTTGACTGATGTTACTCGTCTAAATTTCTTCGAAGTAGCGCGCGCCGCTTTCTTCTCGAAGAAAGTAGTAGCGCGCGCCGGGCCAGATCATTAACAATGGTCAAATTTGTATGTGTGTTTTGATTGGCTAACCTCAATGATAATTTCCATTTGGACAGCTAATTGGTATATTATATACTAAATTGGTACATTATATTTAATAGCAGGAACCCTCTAACCAAAGCCCTCTCGCTTGCAGTAGCGCGCGACCGCCGCAGTACGCGTATACACATGGCTATGTGAAAGAAAAGGGAAGCCGGTAGGCGGGCGGGCGCGCGCTACTACAAGCGCAAGGTTTAGCTGGTCAGAGCAATGGTGACGTCATTATACATATATTTTAATTTTTCAGTTAGTGAGGTTACAGTCTAATTTAAAATTAAACGGCGCACGGGTGTGCACTATATTTTACAAAATACATACTAAATGTTTCACCTAACCATGTGCTTTCGCGCCACTGCGGGCGCGCTTGTCAGTTGTCTCACAAGTGAGGCGGGCGCGCGCTACTGCAAGCGCAAGGGCTCTGGATAGAGCAAACTAAATATTTGATTATTTTAAATGAGTAAATTTGTTTAAATAACCATTTGATTTTTGTTTAATTTCCGTAGCCAAATCGAAAATGTTGTTTATTATTAAAATTTATTTGTACTCATATTTGTAGCGTGATGCCTTACTGTGCCGCGCCGCGCATTCAATGAGGCTTCTCACAGCGATCGGCAAAATGCGCTATTGTGCCTCACCAAGCTGCGATGAATTGACATCGTCAATTTAATACTTATATCTATTTTAAATTTGTATTAATTTAAATCTTTGTTTCAAAATTGTATGTGCAACTTTCCAACAATTTATTTTGTTAATATAATTATGTATTCAAAACTTTATGAATAATATTAGAAGCTGTTACGGTGATTTTATGCTCGATACACTCCACTAGAATTACCAGACAAATCTTAAAAGACGTATTTTTGACCATTGATTCAATTAATGGTGGTTGAAAGTGTTTAATATAATACTTGTTCCATGACTCGACGAGTCTAACTTGGCGTGCGTCTTGATAGTTTATAAACATGCAAACAATAAACCTACAATTCAAATATATAACAATCATTTTTTCAACGTCAACCTTCATGCATTTTTCAGTCTGAATACGCGAAAATTACGACGTAAGGAGGTCCGGGGTTTATTTGCGTATTGATGAATATCCACCCGGCCGAAAGTCGCCATACAAAACGCTCCTTGGACATCTAAAAACGTTGTTCATATTCTAGTTAAAAATCGAGCGCTGTATAGACTTTTTCAAATCAATCTTGAATCTAATCTGTCGACACAACAGTTTTTGCTTCAAGTTTATTCAATTGGAAACTTTGTGTATTGTGACCTGACCGAAAATATGTTAACAGCATATACGTTGAATACGTGGTCAGATAACGGCCCATGTAGTACTTTAAGGCACTCACTTGGCACCCCGCACACCGCAAGACATTCAGTCTTGACTGGTATGATTTCATATGCCACTGGTGTAGGCGTCCAAACTGTGAATTTCCAAATGTACTAGTCATATAACTAGTTTCAAAATATAGTTATTCCTACGTTGGTTTTCAGTATAAGTTGATCTTATTAATGACTAAGATCCAATAGCAGTGTTTTTGTTCACTATTTGGCATGTAGACTCCAAAATCAATATTAAGTGCAAGTTCCTATGCTATGACACTGTTTACTCTTGTGCTCTCTTCTATTACTGATAAATTTACAACTTAGCTTTATGTTCTCGAGGCTATGTCAAACTCTGGAGAGTGTTGTCACTACTACTACTAAGAAAGACAAACTGCTGAGAATATCAGATTACTACCATGAAGTGTCACAATTACCAGATTGTGAGGTTTATGAGACTTTAAGGTTAATTTTACCTAAATTTGACAAAGCGAGATCATCATATGGTTTAAAAGAGAATGCTCTTGCCAGAAAATACATCGATAGCCTTTGTGTTGCTAAAACTAGCATTGAAGCTCAGAGACTCCTCAAATTCAAATCTGTCAAAGGTAATAAAGATCTACCAGACACACTCTTCCATATCCTTCGCAATCGCTGCCATGGCAACAAAGAGTTCACCATAAAAGAAATAAATACATTGTTGGATAGTATTCAAATGGGATGTGTTAAGCACAATGAGAAAGTCAATGATCTCATCAACAATTTAACTAAAAACATGTCCCCATTACATCAGAAGTGGCTTTGCAGAATTATTTTGAAGGAGTTGCATCTTGGATTATCAGGTAATTATCCCATAAATGAATGAGAATATTTTTATATACAGTATATTTTGAGATGCCCAGAGAGGCATCAACTTAATAACACCAAAATGTGTGTGTGTCTGTGTGTCTGTGTGTCTGTCTGTGTGTCTGTCTGTCTGTGTGTAATTTCCGAACGGTTATACAAAAAAAACGGTAATAGTTACGGTACTGGTTTTTTCGGTATAGTGCCGACAAAACTCTGACGAAGCCAATAAGCAAATTTTATAAAAATCGGCCGGTGGTAAGTGGCTAAATTGATGGTTTTGTACTATTAATGCAACATTATGGAGTGAGCCACTAAAATGGCTCACTTTTTCTTCCTATTCGCTCTCTTTGTAGCGTTGGTAATTAGGTTAGCTCCGCAAGTGATATTAGGAGTGTACTTATGTTTTTCTGCTGATAAACTCAAAACAGCTATTACATTTATTCTGTTTAACACTTTTGTTTGTTTTGGGGATCAGATTTTAAGACAAACGAAAGGCATTCCCATGGGAGGGAATTCTAGTAGCCAGTTCGCTGATCTTTCGCTAGGGAAGTGTGAATTCAACTACATGACACGCCTAATCAAAGAAAAGAAGTTCGGTCTCGCTAAGCTCCTCTCAAGAAACTGCAGATATGTCGACGACCTCAACACCATGAACTATTTGCATTTCTCTAACCTAATCAGGTCCATTTATCCACCTGACCTGCTTATGGAGAGGAGTGGTGACGACAATAAGTCCGTAAACTATCTCGACATCAACATCTCGATGAATAACTCCGGACACGTCGCCACCAAGCTTTACAACAAACTTGATGACTTCAACTTTCCTGTGGTCATGTACACCTTTCCTAACAGTAATATTTCCTCTTCTGTTGGTTATAATGTTTTTTACGGTCAGGTCCTTCGTTACTCTTCCATTATCTCTGACCTTGATTCTTTTCTGTGTTCTACCAACACCCTTTATAGGACACTTCTTTCAAGATGTTATAATGACAGACTCCTGAAGAGTAAATTCAGAAAGCTTCTGAAAGACCGACCTAGTATTCTGTACAAATACAGTATACTTGATGTCAGCGACATCCTTGACATCACATTTAACGTGAACAGGTGATCACTGACGAGTGATTGCTAGGGGGTCTTGGCACATTAAACCGGTACAGGTATTAAACCCCGAAACCGGTGTGCCAAGTCATCTGCTGATGATGTTCACATAACATTATTTCCTCTCTCCTTTATTCCTTCCGTCTTTTCTTAAACTTACAGTTCAGTTACTTTATTTCACCAGGTCTACCTAAGGATCAATTATTCTTTGGTGGGGTTTCACTTCTGGTATTGGCTTCATTCCCGTTCCTTTTCCTTATTCTTTATACTTATTTTTTTCATATAGTTTAATGAGATTGGGCACTGATTGTGGTCTGTTTAAACTGTAGAGAGAGTTCATACTTTCATACGACAATGTTTATGCATATAATACTTTAAGTTTATTAGGGGGGGGGGGGGGGGGGGGGAGGCACTCATTGCGGTCGGTTTGTTTACTTTCATACGACAATGTAATGTATGTTTTCAAATATAAGGCAGGTGTGGTGCGGAGTTAATAAGGGTTAATTTCTAAAACGATTTAAAGCGGTTTAAGACGGGAGTAATGAGGTGTAATAGTCGTGGTACAGATACTATTGGATACGTGAGGGAACTCCGAATAGAATTGCTCACCTAATGCGGGTTTTGACTCAGCGGGTAATTACTCCTACCCTTTTTAACTGCGGCAGTGAAATCCCGGCCGAAGGCCGGGTTACACTAGTTATTTATAATGTTGTCATGTAGTAGAATCTTCAACTATAAGTTAATTATAATATCTACATAAGTTCATAAATATTATATCTTAATTTTTCAGAAAGAGCTATTCTCATGAGCATTGACAGTAATGCTGAAGCAGCCTTCAATGTTTGCTCAGACTTAAAGATGATTTGCGAAAACCTAGGGAATCTTTCATCACTGTAAGTTAAGGGTTAGATGATTTATAGTTATTGTTGAATAGCTACACTGCTGTTTCTTTTCATTGAGTATAGTTACTGAAACAACTCTCAATTAATTTTATATGTTACTACAGGTGTGGAGATGTGGTGCTAGGACGAGTTTTTAAACCAATGCTTGCTGACAGAGTCACAGACTTAAATAACGTTGAACAATTGATGAAAGGAAAACCGTTTTGTGTAGAAACAAAGTATGATGGTGAAAGAATGCAGGTAAATTTATATGATGTGTAGATTTTATGACATTAAGTTGACCTTACTTGAACCAAAATATTTGTTTACTTCATACACTGCTCAAGTATTCATGTACACATAATGCAGTGTGGTCATTGTACATCAATCTCACTGTAATTAGTGTACTATAAAACCTTGTCTACCCTAGATTCACAAGACTGAAAATAGCTACTTGTACTTCTCGAGGGGATCTCTTGAATACAGTGAGAAGTATGGAAAGGATCAGACTAGTGGAACTCTAACGCCACACATACACAATAATATTCTTGCAAAGAATTGTATTCTAGATGGTGAGATAATTGTGTTTGATCTGTTGAATAATGTGTTGATTACAAAAGCACAGGGACAGGATGCTAGAAATCTGAAACACAGAGATGACCCACGATTTTTACCTTGTTTTGTTGCATATGATGTTGTTTATTATGATGACAAAAGTTTGACAATGTCACCTTTTTCTGACAGAAGGAAGGTTTTGGAACAAATTGTTAAGGAGAAAACAGGCTATTTGTATCTTTCAAAACAATCGATATGCTCAACCCATGCAGAGGTTGTGAGCGAGCTTAACAATGCTATTGAGAATGGCGATGAAGGGTTAGTTCTTAAAATCCCAAAATCTATTTATTCTCCAGACCAGCGTGTAGATGGGGGCTGGTATAAGATTAAAACGGATTACCTCGAACTAATGAATGATACTGTTGATGTCGTTATTCTGGGCGGGTATCATGGCAAGAACAGTGGCAGTGGCACCATCTGTCATTTTCTCTGTGGTCTCTGTACTTCCAAAGGGCAATACTCGTCGTTTTGTAAAGTCGCCAGTGGGCTCACCAAAGAAGACCTAGCCCAGAAACTTTCCAAGCTTGATCCATATTGGATACCTTTTGAGAAACACAAGCTTCCAAGCAATGTTATTCTGAGTCCATCTTGTCGAGAGAAGCCAGCAGTAGTCATCGACCCAGAGCACTCAATGGTACTGGAGGTCAGAGGAGCTGAACTGATGGGCACTAATTTCTTTGCTCTTCCTTTAACGGTTAGATTCCCTAGAGTTGTCAGGGTCCGTGATGATAAGACTCCCTCTGATTGTACAAAGTTTTCGGAGTTGGAAAAGATTGCTACCTTGAACAAACGTGGTGTTTCCAAGGTTGAACTCAACTCCGTATCCCCAAAGAAAAAACCTCGTTTAGGAACAGCTGCAGGCCCTTCAAACTCTAAATTAATAGAGAGTATCGTCATTAGAAGTAGTACACTGAAAGACAAAGAATTCTGTGTACTCAGTGGATCGGACGAAGTAATCAAACAAGAGGCAGAAAGATTCATCAAAGAGCACAGCGGGACAGCAGTTTCAACTCCAATACCAGGCTGCACTGTGCTTTGTGGCAGACAGAGCATCTCCGTTAGAAATGTCATAAAACAAGGTCAGCACCTCGTTCTTGACATCTCATGGATCAAACTCTGCTCCACAAGTGTCAACCCCTGTCCTCCCCATCTAGTCATCCACTGTCCTGGACCTCTCAAGGAGGAAGTGTTCGGATCGTTTGATGAGTTTGGAGACAGCTTCTCTGTTCCAGTGACTCCTGGGGAGCTGAGAGATTTGTTCAACAGACTACCTTGTGTCTCGTCTCAGGGCGATTACATTGTAAACCAAGAGGCTTACCTCGATCTGAAGAAAAAGTACAAGCAATTTAGTGATTATTGGCGGTTTGCATTGAAAGAAATGAACATTTTTTCCGCTGATTTAACATTGCCAATATTATCAATAGCAAGGCTTTATGGGGCTAGATTAACTGATAACGAAGATCAAGATGGAATAACCCATCACATAGTTGGAGATGATGACTCACGTGACGTCACCATACCACGTGACGTCACCATACCACGTGACGTCACCATACCACGTGACGTCATCATACCACGTGACTCTGGTTTAGGAGCACCTTTAACCAGGTCTCAACTTCTAGAACAACTTAAGCCACACATATCAGAGGAAACACATAGTGTTTTTAAATAGTTTAGTTTTGTCCAGTAATTTATTATGTTAGTTGATTAGTTTTATCAGTTTGTGTTGAATAATATGACATTTAGATTAAAGAATATTTATTAAATGATATTTTGTGATATGCTTTTGTACAATCAAATTTAGTTTTATAATTAAGTTTAGCCGCTTTAAAGCTACACAATAAACGTAATATTCTTATCATGTATAATATTCTGCTCTATTCTATATCTAAAGTATTAATGAAATGTAGTTACCTAGTGATATAATGTTTTGATGGGCTGTTCTATATTCTTGTATTATACTAATTGTTCGTAAATTGAGATTTCTTGATTTTTGGAAGTCCTAATTAATCAGAATTATAGTTGCAAATACACAAATTACATGATATATACCTTGTTTTCTTGACTTGTGAATTGTGCATCGTACAAAGTCTCTCAGTCCCGTATTATGAAGTTTCTATCATCGTTCAGCCCACTGAATTTTTATATTCTTGAGTGAAGTAACGAACTACCCTTCAGTTTAATAAACAAGTGAAATATCATCATTACTACTAAGGAAACGAGATGATTTTATCTTTCCTGTATAATTCAAGGAAATAGCGCACATGCAATCAGATGAGTTATCAGATTTCTGGTGCAGGAATGAAGATGGGGGTATTAGTCGTCCTGGTAAGAGAAGAGTAATCTCCAAGGTATCCAGATCTGATATCAGAGTTTCAGCTGCACTTGCTAACACTGGTACGTTCCATATCATCTGATAACTTGACGAGCATTACAATCCTCTTTCACGATCGAAATTTTTCCAAAAAGGCATTCACGACGTGAAGTGAAAGTGAAACACTATCTCGTTTTCAGACCGTGTGCAGGATTGTAGGAACAAGGCCCTGTCCGAGATATGTTTGTTTGTGCTTGTACGTCACGTGAACTCTATATCTTGGGATAATGTGTGTCAGCATATTGCAGCTGATATTCTGAGAGCTGCTCATACAGCTGGTACTATAGCTGATACCACTGTTCTCCGACTCATTAAATCTCCTCTTCATACCAACTTTATTACAGGTTCGAAAGTTTTAAAATATTTATCTATTTGACAAGACATTTATTTAAAAGCCTCAAACATCAACTCCCTAAAATGTTATACAGGTTGTTTAAAGACTCCTAATTTGTTAATTTAATATTTTTCAGCGTTAGATTTGTCCTCCCACAAGAGTGTACCCTGGCTGAAGAGCCTATCAGAGCTGGCTAACTCGCTCACAATACTCGACCTGTCCAGATGCTCCTTTAGGAAATCTAGCAACGACGCGGGGATCACTTCAACATTGGTTCAACTCACAAGGTAGGCTTCACATTGTTCATCGTCATTATACATATACATTATACATTATACATTATAGTACTCATTAGTGTGACTCTTATCTGTCTGATTTTTAGTAGCTTTTATAAAACGGATCTAGTCTTAATTTATTGTCTTCCTAATTTGCCTCCCGCAACCATCCAGATCTATTACAATATAAATCACGTGATAACTACTAATCATCACACCACGTGACGTCACCACACCATAATATGACGTCATCACACCACGTGACGTCACCATCCAGATCTATTACAATATAAATCACGTGATAACTACTAATCAGGTTGGAGTGGTTAAGTTTATCAAGCTGCGAGCTGGATGACGGCGTGGTAAAGAAGCTTGTCTACCCCACCAAATACTCTAAGAAAGGCCTCACCAAACTCCGATATCTCGACGTGTCAGGTAAAATGCTAATTTCAGTGTAGCATTATTATTATGTCCTGTACATGATAAATATGTTACTTTTTCTCGTGTAGTCCCATTTTGTAGATTTGTTCTCCTAAAGTTATTTTTGGAATCGTTTAAATTTATTATGCAGTTGTTCTAGAATTCAGCAAGCTGTAGCCTGTCTTGCATCTATAATATTACATATTCACCATGAACCACTTCCTGCCTGACTATCTAACCTTCAGAGAATCCTTCCTTGTCTGAGTACGGTATCTCACTAGCCCGGTCCTTCCCACTACTACAGACACTAGTCACCACACCACGTGACGTCACCACACCACGTGACGTCATCACACCACGTGACGTCATCACCCCACGTGACGTCACCACACCACGTGACGTCATCACACCACGTGACGTCACCACACCACGTGACGTCACCACATCACGTGACGTCACCACACCACTTGACCAGAAATATTTTCCCTACCCTGACCACGAGCTGGTTAGCTGGGGTCACGACATTGTCATCCGCTGGATCACTGGAGAACTTCCTCATAGACCTGCTGGTAAGGTTAACTATCATTTATCCCCCCCCCCCCTCCCCATTTACCAGCCAGAGCTAATTATTAATTATTGTACTTATATTCAGTTTTCTTTACTTGTATCAACAATTTTGTAGTTCTTGAAAGGTACCATAGGATTACAATTGACTCTAAATCTAACTTCAGGTGTGTCTACCGCTGCGTTCTACAACCTGAACACTAAAGAAAAAGCAACGGATCAAAATATTAAGAAATACAAGAAGTTTGAACCATTTAGATCCGACAACAGATTAGAAGTTTCCGGATCTTCTGTTGAAAAGCAACCTATGGGATCTCCTTCTCTGTTCCAACATTACAGACAATACAGTGGGAAAGAAAACAATGCCATCTTTAATAACACAACGTCTACTAATCAGAAATCAGTTAATAAAAAGAGACGATTTAAATTAATAAGTACTCCCAATCACCCCGTGAACAGTAAAAAACGTAAAACTGCAAGTTTTAACAGAGTTAAAACTGATGTTATATCATCATCAAAGACAGATTGTGTATTAGATTGTTATAAAGATACAAATCAGCCATCAGATAGTGCTAGTTCCAGGGGAGCTTCGTTATTTTCTAGACTGGATAGTGGTATTGACAGTTTCTACAGTTGAACCGCATGGACAGTACTGTTTATTCTCATTTTTAATTTTACAATACAATTTAATTTAACAATTTGTTGTAAAATCGGTTTTACTGACTGTTGCTAACTACTGCAACTTAGAATTTGTGTTCGATATCTTTATAATAATTGTTGATGTTTCTTATTTTATCATATTATGTCATTATGTCAGAATCAGTTAAAATTTCTCTGATCCCACAATTTATCATTAATTTGGGTGCGTTTTTATCTAACTGTATGAAAGTCATTAAATATATATTCTCTCTTCATATATTATGTAAAGTAGAAAAAAACATTTATCAGCTGATACTAACCATTGCTTTTAGTTATGGGAACACTAGGAAATATAACACACGTAATATTTGATTTGGATGGACTTATTCTAAACACAGAGGTTCTCTACGACGTTGCAATCCAGAAGATCTTAGATAGATTTGACAAAACATATACGTACGATCTGAAAATGAAAGTCATGGGAATGAAATATCACAAAGCAATGGAACTTATTCAAAAAGAACTTGACATTCCGATCTCACCCGATGACTTGGTCACTGAAAGTATGAACAATCTTAAGGAACTATTCATGAAATGTGGAACCATGCCCGGCGCTGAGAAATTAATCCGACATCTAGAAAAACATAATATTCCAATGTGTATAGCAACTGGAAGCTCATCAGCTGATTACCAGCTCAAAACTCACTCTCACAAAGATCTGATCAGCTTGATGGAGTTCGCTGTACGTTCTGATGATCCCGAGGTTAAGTTTGGAAAACCTAATCCTGATATCTTTCTTCTTGCCATGAGCAGGTTCAAGTCACCGCCTGTTTCTTCTAAGAACTGCTTGGTGCTGGAGGATGCCCCGAATGGTATTAAAGCAGCTTTAGCAGCCGAGATGATGTGCGTGATGGTGCCGGATCCTAGACTGCAAGCTATCCCACCAGCTCACTTAGTATTGAAGTCGTTAGAAGAGTTTAGTCCTACAAGTTTTGGGTTACCTCCGTTCTAAGTCATGATATTGGCAACAAAGTAGATATATAGCGCATGCTTGGGTAGCTTTTTCTTTCACGAGGTAATTTATTGACTTTTATGGAATGCTGTCTAAACATATTCATTTCAGGATTCATTTACTTGACCCCACCAATCACCATTGGGTTGTCTTCCCTTTAATTTGTAGGTACGCACATTTCCTATTGTATGAATAATATATTAGGGGCCATCTACTTAGGACGTCCGGCAAATAGGGAGGAGGGTGGTTTTGGAATTTCGGATAAATCCGGACAAGGGGAGGGGGGTGGTTTCTGAAAATCCGGACGTCCGGAAATTTTGGAAGAATTAACGAAAAAGTCCCATTTATTTCAACTCTTTGACACTAATTACTTTGTTACAAGTTAAAATCCCTGTATTTTGAACGAGAAGACGATTCCCAGAGCAGCTCACGAGAACCGAGTTTTATTCGTACTCTTAAAAGTAGCTGGAAATCTGGACGTCCGGGGGAGGGGGTGGTTTTGAAAATTCGGACACACCCGGACAGGGAGAGGGAGGTGGTCCGAAAATCTGCAATTTTGGTGGACGTCCTAAGTAGATGGCCCCTTATATGAATCTTATGAATGACGTCTATCTTAATTTTCCGACAGCGTGATAATTAATGCTTGATTATTTTTAAGGTTTTTACTCACGATAAATATAATTTTTGGAATCACATGCACATTTCAATATTTCAATTTTTGTAACACGGATTTCCGATTTGCTATAACGATTAAGTTACTAATATGTTACTGGCCAGTTGGTTTATGCAGAATATGTATCTTGCTTGACAATGTTTGGTCAGGTTTACACCATATCAATATTTCCTCCTCTCATCGCCTCCCCACGAACAGACATATGAAACTAACGCTATGTCTCCGTCTGATGGACTCCCCGATGACTGCTCAGCTGATTAAACAGTTCGTCCCTCGGGAGACTCCTATCGTGAAACCTCGGGCTACTAATTGGTTTCCTGGCCATATGCCAAGCGGACTCAAGCGAATGCAGATGGTAACTCTTGCAGGCTTTCAATCTTATTTATCTAGTGAATTAGCATTTTTATCTGTATCTCTGTACTTGTAGATGACTTGTTGCATAGCTGCAATTTTCATAATTTGTATAATCACACTGTTCACGTGCTTCATTAAAAGTGAGACTAAAACTTAGTTAATGCAGTGAGACTCTTGCAGATGACAAGAGTTACAGACTGTATCATAGAAGTTCATGATGCCAGGATTCCTTTTACCTCACGAAACACTTATGCAAACCAGGTCAGTTGACGACTACAGTCCAAACACACTGCCTAAGAAAAATCCCATTGAAATGCTATCATAATCTCTAACCAGTAACCAGTCAATTATTTTCGATCGTTTTGGACTTGGAATATTTTGACTCATAAGTGTGTAAGTTTGTTTAAAATGTACATTTTATGAAAAACTGATTAAATCAAGCTGTTTGACTCATTGCATTAATTTCTACTTTTATCGTTTACCAACTCGTGGAGTCTGAGGAGATTAGTTAACAAACTTCCGGCCCATTTTTCAGAGCTATGCAGGTCGACCTAGGATCCTACTTCTAGCCAAGGCAGATCTAGTGAGCCCACACGAATTAGATATGATCTGCAAGCAGATATCAGTTAAAGAAGGTATCCCAGTATGCGCTACTTCAAACACAGTGAGATAATTTATGTGATGTTATTTTAAATGTTTAAATTGTATTCCTGTTTCCATTCTGGTGATTGACCATGTGCATGATAGTTTAGTTTTTAAAGCTTCTAAGATATCATAATATCATGATCAGCAATTATCAGGAGCACGTCATGAACCAGCACACTTCAGTGTTTGCAATGTGCAGTGACACTCTTTAATACTGATAACAGGAATTTTAAAATTCAGGTAAAACAGAAAAGGAAGTTTCGGGGCCTTATCAAAGATGGAGTATCCATGGCTAATGCAGACCAGCTGACAATCGCAAAACCTCACTATACTTTCTTTGTATCAGGAATACCCAATGTTGGCAAAAGCTCCTTCATAAACACGTTTAAAAAGAATTTGTACCACGATAAAAACAAATTAAAAGTAGCTCCACACCCAGGTGTCACCAAGAAAATATCAAATAGACTGAAAATTCTGGACGCTCCTAAAGTGTACATCTACGACACCCCAGGTGTTAATTTACCTGTACTTGATAATCCAGAGTCTATAATGAAATTAGCTGCTTGTGGTGCTGTCCCCACTACAGTTGTTGGCCAGATACAAGCTGCAGATTATATTTTGTTTTGGTTGAATAGAAAAGGTCAGTATAAATACGCCTTCCAGTGTGGTCTCGCTGGTCCTTCAAATAATATAATAGAGGTTCTGGCTTACTATGCCAGGCGGCGGAACCTCATGCTTCATGGAAAACCTATCATTAACGATGCTGCTGAACATTTTGTAGCTATGTTCAATAAGGGCGAGCTTGGACAGGTTATTTTAGAAGATTTTTAGGTTTTTTATTTTGATTTGGTTATTCAGGAGATCGTGAGTCTCTTTTGGTTTTATGTTTCAGCTTTTCAATTTGTGAAGTCGCACTATGACGTGACCACATTAATTAATAGCTTATCGCTGGATTGTCCTCTTACAATCATAGAGCTAGACAATAATTCAATTATATTGTAATGAGTTCTCCCATTTAATAGGAATTATATATGTTATAGAGGAGCATTATATTTCGTGCACTAATTTACTTCTCTCATTAATTTCGTGACCTAAGCCTTGACGGTATTATCTTACAATTATTTCGTTTGTAGTCTCGGAGTTGTGTCTATTTCAGTGTACCTAAGCTTCTTTTCAGTAAGGATTTACGACATTGCAAACAAAATTTAATAAATTTCTCTCGAATTGTTTAATTTTCTATACGTACTGTACATATTGTATTTATTTTGATCTTGTTTATAATTCTTAATTAAGGTCGTTTCAATTTTGAATCTTTTAGGATGAAATTTCATTTTAGGATGAAAAAGAATAAACGAGATTTGTTTTGACTGATATTTCAGGGATGCAGTTCGTCCTCTTCCTTATTCTCCCTCTTACTGTCTCCTCTTGGGACGTCCTCTTTGTAAATGTTTTCGCGGGTGGATCCCACCAAACTGTGGGAGCCTACACTGCCAACGTTCTAGCTGATCATGGACACTCAGTGACATACGTCAGTACCAACCTACCCAAATATCTTAGAACACAAATCAAGAAAGTAACTCTGACTGAAAACGAGAGAATTGGAAACAATTTTCTCAACAACGTTGTGGATGATCCTGATTTCTCTCTAGGAAAAGCCCTGTCTAACATTAAGATAATGTTGGGTTTGTGCGGCCCATTTTTTGAGGATCCCTTTGTTCAACATCTGATGACCACGAACGCTAAGTTTGATGCTATGATCTCACTTGGAGCTCTCTACGATTCTTGCTCCTTTGCTCTAGCTCACAAACTGAAAATACCAGGTCGTATCGTCCAATTTCCTGCTCCTTCCACCTTCCCAGCCCAGATAGCTAGTTACGGTCTACCCATCTACCACTCCTCCGTCAATCATGACGGAGTCACCTACCAAGATAACGAAGATGTCAAAGCTTCCCCTTTACTTCGGGTTAAAAACCTCCTGAAAAGTTGCGGTATCATGGTGTTTGAAGACCTGATCCAGAGGTTTATGATAGGACCTGATATCTACCCCCACGTACCTGACTACCCGGGATACACCGCTGTTTTCAAGGAGGTTGGGCTAGTTCTCATGCACTACCACCCCCTTGTTGATTCCCCTGTCCCGTTTGGACCAGGAGTTGTAGCTCTGGCTGGTACTCTTTGCACTGAATATGAGCCTGAGAAACTTGGCGAGGAGTTACGGGAATTCATTGATACAAGTGAAGGGTTTGTGTATATTTCGTTTGGGTCTCACATCCATACGCTGCTGGATATTGAAAAGGAGATTCTAATCGGTGCGTTTGCTAAAATGTCTTTCAAGGTGGTCTGGAAAATGAAGTTTGAAGTGCCCAACCTGCCTGCAAATGTTAAAACCTTCAAATGGCTGCCACAAACCACCCTCCTCCGCCATCCCAAACTCCGGGCTTTCATCACTCACGGCGGGTATGCCAGCAAAGTTGAAGCCATGTGTGCTGGAGCACCCATGCTGGTCATGCCACGAGTCGCTTTCGACCAATACCTCAACGCTGATCAGATTTATAAACGACAGCTCGGTGATAAAATAGTGAGTCTGAGGGATTCCAGTTCTGATGAGGTGTTCGGTAAAGTGGTGAACATATCCGGACCAACTATCACGGGGAACAGTAAGGCCTTACAACGACAACTACTGCTGACTCGGACAACAGATGAGCAGTTGCTGGGGAATTTAGATATTGTTATTTCGGGAAAGAAGCTTCTTCCTGGGCACCAACCCTTTTACGAGTACTTCTATCTGGACATCATTCTCATTCCTGTTGTTACCATATATCTTATCAAGTATCTGGTACGAAAGATACGCAGCTTGCCCCTGATGAGTTGAATTGTGGTTGCTGTTTAAAATTATGGGATCATTAATTATGGAAGAATATTAATTTGGGTTTATGGACTTAAATGAGGGTTGTTAAAGTAAATTTGAATCACTAAACTGAATATAATTTTAACAAACACTTTGATTACTTGATTTTCAAATTCAAATTCACTGATTTTCTAATCATATTTGTACGACTTGGAGTTGAAACCTAATCGGGAATTCGGGCAAATATTTGTTAAGAGTTGTGGCAGCTATCAATCAAATATAAATTCAAATGATAGTGTCACGAGTCGAAACATATGTATTTGCACCACCCTCACTTAAATTTTGTAGCATGCTTCATTTTTGATTTATGAATTATAATTGATGTTTTAAGTTTGTATTTGTCATCATTTTCTATGTAATGGTTATGCATTTACATTATACATTATTATCATTATTATTGTAAATTATCTTTTTTATTTTTTGAAAATTTTATGAACTACTAGTACGTTATAAGAAAGTGTTTAATTTGTCATTTCGTGCTCAATCACTTGTAATACAAGAAATAAAATTGTGTGAAAAGAAGAGTTCGTGCTGGTGATTTTCAAAATCATAATTTGACTTGTGTTTCAAAATGAAAATTAGCAAAAAGCCTTAATATGAAACAATTAAACTTTGTTCATATATCTAGTATCTATATCTGTGATGGAATAGATTACCTTCAAATAACCAAATAAGTTACAAACTTTTAAATCCCTTGATCTAAATATCATCTGTTAGTAAATAATAATTAACCAAAGTAATCTTAATAGGTTTACTAAGTCATGCCAGTTTATAAAGGTGAGTTTTAAAACACTTTGTCGTCATCTTAAACCGGAAATTTGTCCGTCTTAATTCTACGGGTATATGCCTCACAGAATGGCTAGCCTCACAGAATGGCCAAATTTGTAAATGTTTTTGTAACTAAATTTTTTTATAAGACTGTTAGGTTTTGTGGATACCATATGAAACAAAAGTCTTCTGGCAACACTTCCTGTACTCTAGTAGCAGAGAGGAGTTGAGTGTGCACTTCAATGTCCACAATTTTTGACCACACAGTGTCTTTCATTAGGTCATTCCAAACCAAAATCATCTAGGTAGCAATTTTGTATCGCTAGTCCCAGTCCTACAGGGCGAAATTTCTAAATTGCCCTCAGGCGCCAATTTGGGATTTTTGTATCTTGGCTTCTAAAAGACTTAGAGACTTGAATATTGGCTTAAAATAACGGCAATACCCTTATTTATATACAAGTTATGAAGCAATATAAGGTCTCAAGTGCCTGGTTTTAAAGATATTTACGAAAAACTGTTTTTTGGCTCATCGCAGCCGGAATTATCGGATTATTTTTATATCTCGAGCTAGAAAGGTCGTAGAAACTTCTCCGATATTGAAAAATATTCGCAATGAGCACATTTATATAAGACTTATGAATCATTGTATGCTCTAAAATGCTTATTTGTAGAGATATTAGCAAAAATCGGTAATTTTGGCTACACCAATACAAATTTGGTAATTCGTTTTGTCTTTTTTTTGCAAATTTTCACGTTGCAATTTTCAAGATGCGGTTTGTGGCTATCGATAGGGCTTTATATGCTATTGTATGGTTTTGATACAATCCTTCAGCACCTAGGACATAGGCAATAGGGGTCACAAACCCCGAAATGTCAGGAACTGGGCAGTGGCCGAGATAAATATTTGATAATTACTTGGACTCTTGACTCACATTCATCTTTTCAACGGTTAGTTAGACATCTTAAACCAGTATTGAACGTTGAGTAAAACTTCTAATCCATTTGTAGCTCAGGTCATGTGCCCCAGAAAAACACGCCTGAGTGACAGTGGGCCTTATCGATCATGAGCCGCAAATCACAAGGGCATTCGTACTCTTGGCTTAAATTGGCTCTTCGTTAGTATCATCAATTAGGTTTCTAACTTCTATTATATCATCTGCCTGTCCAGTGTCCATCCGTCTCTTAGAGATTCATTATTAATTCAAGTTCAGTCATTTCGTTTCTGTTCAACTGTAGGCGTAATGAGGGACTTCAGTCCAGCAATAAAGTCAATATCTCTAGATTTAGCAATATTTGGTTTCGCTACTTTTAAGGTAATTGTGTTCAGCAAGCAAGGTTGTAAGTTTCCAGCCCTACGCCCCTACTACCCCATAATATTGCCCCCCCCCTCCCCCCCCACCCCGGGGCACTAGTTATACTGGAGCACTGGTAATGCACATGGTATAATGCTGATTTTTTGCTTAACATAGCTCATTTTTAAGTTCCTTTTTCAGCAGTGTACCATATCATACTGGCATAAAAACAGATTCACCTCCTTTATCTCTAGATATAATCTTGAACCTGGGCTCTACAGGTTATCGAATATCCACCAACCTCTTGCCCCAATTGTCAGCCTAAGGACCTCTGGCACCTGCAACTTTGGGTCCCAGAACTTCGGGCCCAACGATACCTGTCCCTCAGTGACTTTGTGCCCCACATAATTCTAATTTATGACTCAATGTAAATTGTAAACGCTGAGATGGATATTAGATAACCTGTATCTATCGCTAAATTATTTACTATTATTATTGTATTGCTGTGTAAATTTGATTCTAATTCTAATTCTAATTCTGTAGAGCCCAGGTTCAAGATTATATCTAGAGATAAAGGAGGTGAATCTGTTTTTATGCCAGTATGATATGGTACACTGCTGAAAAAGGAACTTAAAAATGAGCTATGTTAAGCAAACAAGAATTGCGCCCGTTGTTTCGTTTTGGCGGACGCTAGATTTCCATTTCACATTTACTATAAATTTAAGTATAACTATAAGCTCCAATCAGCTCACTTCAATCTTCATGATAATAATATTGATCAATTATGCATCAAATACGGGAAACACTTGAAATTCAGTTCAATTGCCGTAGAACTTAACTTGTATCTGTAATTCAAGAAATTATCAGCAAAGGTAAACTATACTCGTGTACACATCAATACACTACGCGTGCCACGTACAAATTGGGTGTATTACCTAATAGTAATATTATACATTACATGCATCATATACACAGTCGCGCCGCGCATTCATAGATCACAGGCTATCTATACATCACATCTCCGCAAGCAATCCTCGCGCGCGCCCAACTTTTTCGTTGCATGGTAACGAACGAACACACGACATATTTAAACCCACCTATCTCGTTCTCCAAAATCCACGTTTTTCTGCAAAAACCTCCATTCGTAACCTTTCACTATTGCCTTTTTTCAAAAGGGTGAAAAGGAAAAAATCAGCATTATACCATGTGCATTACCAGTGCTCCAGTATAACTAGTGCCCCGGGGTGGGGGGGGGGAGGGGGGGGGGGGCAATATTTTGGGGTAGTAGGGGCGTAGGGCTGGAAACTTACAACCTTGCTTGCTGAACACAATTACCTTAAAAGTAGCGAAACCAAATATTGCTAAATCTAGAGATATTGACTTTATTGCTGGACTGAAGTCCCTCATTACGCCTACAGTTGAACAGAAACGAAATGACTGAACTTGAATTAATAATGAATCTCTAAGAGACGGATGGACACTGGACAGGCAGATGATATAATAGAAGTTAGAAACCTAATTGATGATACTAACGAAGAGCCAATTTAAGCCAAGAGTACGAATGCCCTTGTGATTTGCGGCTCATGATCGATAAGGCCCACTGTCACTCAGGCGTGTTTTTCGGGGCACATGACCTGAGCTACAAATGGATTAGAAGTTTTACTCAACGTTCAATACTGGTTTAAGATGTCTAACTAACCGTTGAAAAGATGAATGTGAGTCAAGAGTCCAAGTAATTATCAAATATTTATCTCGGCCATTGCCCAGTTCCTGACATTTCAGGGTTTGTGACCCCTATTGCCTATGTCCTAGGTGCTGAAGGATTGTATCAAAACCATACAATAGCATATAAACACCCTACGCGCGTGGGGTGGACTCCTGGGGTGGACTTTTATTCAGCGCGTATTTTGTAGCCTGTTCAACTTGACGTTTTGATTCGTTACTATCTCAATGTCACAGATACACAGAATGTGAGGTGATCATCTTAAAGAGAAACGTCTCAGCTTTCACCTGGTGTAAAGTTTATCTTTGTACTCAAAATATAGCTCGCTCAGTGTGCAATAGAAGTTGACAATACAATAACCACGTCTGCGACCGGTCGTCAGGTACCGGAGTGTTGCACAAAATTGGGTCCCTAAATTAAAATTCTATGACACAGTTACCATGCAGAAATGTCTAGGGAAACATTTGGTGAAAGTTTCAACTCTCTACTATAAAAATAGCGATAGTTATTGAAGATAAACCGTGAGAAACTCCCTCTTGTCGAGATCAACGCTCTAGGAAACTCCCTTCTGTACCACGTGACAACGATTTGAGCGTCACGTGGCCGTCACGTGACAAAAGTGCGCGCATCGGATGGAGCAGTCTCGTGGGAAATCCTGATTGCCTGATTGATCTCGTGGGAAATCCTGATTGCTACGGAAAGGGCTGACAACCACAGTTATTTCCCTTCCTCAATTTTCCAGTTCACTTGCTCAGTGCTGTCAGTTGTTTTTTGTTTGCCCTGCTATATAAACTTCACTCCGTCATAATCCCCTACTCCCCTATCCAATGAACTGTTTCTGTTACAGCTGCCATTCTGTTGACTGGACCCTAACTTAGTCTTATCATTTTCACTTGATAACTTTATCCGTGTGCACTTTCTCGAAACTCAACTTATCTTTGTCAAGACTCAGCTAATCTCAGAACTAAATGTTGCCTTAACAGACTTACTTGTCACTGCACTGGGCCCTCCTTTAAATGCAAATATCATATGAGCAGCTGATCGATTTATTGCTTGAACTGTGCATCCTTTTTAAAAATAAATAAGGTCAATTTTACTATCGTGAAACTTAGTCACTGAAGACAACGCAATCTGGCTGTGCCGGTTCCCCTCTGCCTAGATCACTTAGAATATCCATAGTTAGCAATACTTTTATCGTTTAATGCAGCGATATAGCCAGTTATCAATGCTACATAGTAGATTTTAGCCTGTTCCAATCATCCTTATATCGCGTTAATGGAATTTATGAAATTGCCTACCGTTCAAATCGCTCTCTGTTGTTAGCACCACACTGATTAACTACGATGTTCCAATTTTTTAGAATTATGTCCGACATAATTCTAATTTTTGCTGTTACAGCAGATAGTTATGGTGTAATGGCACGCAGGAATAAGTCATCCCTGTCCTCCAAAAAGCCCATGAAAAGGTATTTGGTAAGCTATGTCTTTTCCAATATCAAATCCAATGTATCACAATCTGTGGACTTTCTACTCAAAAACTAGATTGATTAATTGATAATTCATTGCTGATTGTTCACGCGCCCTGTATGGAAGTATATAAATGGTAATCCGCATACTCCAGGAAGAATTGAAGCAATCTCAAAAGAAAAGAAGGGAATCTGGATCCTTCGTCGGATCGTCAAAGAGCTTAGAGGGGAGCTCTACGCTTCACTGGCCATGCAAAGCAGGGAGAGTGACGGAGGCGGAGGCACTGCTGGCTGCTGGAACGGACATTAACAAGCTGGACAGAACGCAGTTTAACCCTTTCATGGACGCGATCAACTCAGGTAAATCATTCGACCGCCTTAACAATATGGGTTTATTGGTAATAGTAGCAAGAGGTTTTAGTCATGCGTTTGATTACAGCACAGTGTGAAACCCTGAAGCATACGTCGAGCTCTAAACTCTGTTTTGTCTAATAATCAATTATTTGAATATTGAAGGATTAAATTTGGTAACTTGATGATCACACAATTAACAGGACAGGTCGACTGTGCTAGATGGCTGCTGAGGCAAGACGGTTTAAAGCTTCAGACCGAGATATGGTCGTTTTGTAGGGAGAGGGTGCTAGAGTCATTGCTAACAGCTTAACAGAAGGTAAAATCCTGAACTTTTGTTCATTGATTAAAAATCACCATTCAGACATACAATCGTTCAGATGTAAAAATTATTTATTCACTATTTTGGATTACATTTAGTTACAGGACTAACATGCGACATCCGTCGTTGACCTTTGTCTTTAATTCAACAAGGTAGGGAGAGCGATCCATGGCTGTCCCGATAGACCCACTCAGACTCCTGCCGGAAGATACTCCTCCGGTTGATCCAGATGAGACAGTTCTAGCAGATGATCAGTTACAGACTGAAGAACATATCCCGCAGATCAATGCGTCAACATCTGCAAATGAAGGTACTTCAATCTGCTCTTCTTGTATATGTCTTTGTGCCTGCGTCTGTGATTGTACTGAAGTGTACTCTGTGTGTTTGTGTCTGTGTCTGTCTTTGTATCATGTGTGTGTCTCTGATTGTACTGCGTGTGTCTGTAATTGTAATGTAGTGCACTGAAGTGAACTATGTGTGTTTATGTGTGTGTGTCTGTGTGTGTCTGTGTGTGTCTGTGTGTACTGTGTCTGTCTGTGTGTCCGTCTGTGTCTGTGTGTGTCTGTGTTTATGCCTGTGTCTGTGTGTCTATGTCTGTATGTGTTTGTGGGTGTGTGTCTGTGTGTCCTTGTCTGTGTGTAACTGTGTCTGTCTGTGTGTCTGTCTGTGTGTCCGTCTGTGTCTGTGTTTATGCCTGTATGCCTGTATGTCTGTGTCTCTGTGTGTGTGTGTCTATGTCTGTATGTGTTTGTGGGTGTGTGTATCTGTCTGTGTGTGTGTGTGTGTGTGTGTGTGTGTGTGTGTGTGTGTGTGTGTGTGTGTGTGTGTGTGTGTGTGTGTGTGTGTGTTCTTTCATAGAAGTTGTTATTTCCAAGATACGAAGTTCGAAAAGCTAGCATTTAGTAATAGACGAATTTTGCAGCTGATATCAGAATCGACATGATGATGGTACTACACGAGATGCTCATGGAAAAGGTCTCCGTTTGCTTTCCTCCTCCCACGAGCAGTACAAAGTGTGGGTTCAACTTTAATCTGATAGAAGATATCGTATGCGGAACCCAAGCCCGGCCATGTCTGTACATAATAACGAAAGAAACCGGTAAGTTTCTAATCATGTAAATGTTCGGCCGAACGTTTGCATTCATTTTAGACTAGTGACGAAAATCAACAATCGTTTGCCAGTTTGGTTTGCAAAATCGACAAAAAATAGTCCATTCCCCATGGCCATGATATTAGAATTCTGCCCGTTGAAATCGGCCACTCTGATTTTTATCATTGAACTTCACATTGATGACATGTTCATTCTCTACAGGTTATGCTGCGAGGGCGTTTACCTCGATAGATGTTGAAAATGCCCACAGCATTATAAATCATTTGGACCGCCGAGGGGTCCAAAACTCCTCAATCGAAGAGCTTAGTAGACATGCCAGCAACCTACAGAGACTTCAAATTCTCAGGAAACCTCTCTAGGACGGTAATACATTAACTTGTTTAGTTAATAAATTTAATAAGTAGATTTTGAGTGATGATTACTGAATACAGATATCGAGCCTCGAGGTACCATAAAAAGGGTATATAAACTTATCACTTATGCTTATATGCTTATACTATCAATGAATATCAAATCGCCTTCTCTAGTTATCAAACCCAACATAAGTTAAATCTCTGCCTACAAGGACTATTTGATATTTACAACAGACCGAGTGAATGTCTCAATCTTTTCAGGAAGCTTTATACTCCGACATCCACAATTTACTACGCCCCTGAGATCGACAAAGGTCTTTCTGATAGATTGACTTCCAGCCAATTCGATCTATCGAAGCCGAGTGGGAAGAACAAAGAACTGAAACCCCATGGTCGCAACGATGCTCCTCGCGGACAAGGGAGAGTTAGGGCCATCGGTGGTCACAAGACTGGATAATATTTATTTTTTAAGCGTTGAGGTTGTCACGAAAGCGTACTGTAACGGGACTATCAGATTTGAGTGATTTGATTTTGTGATTTGCAGTTCACGTGATTTTATTGTGATTTTAGACTGTAAAAACTATAAAGGTTCAAGTTGAACTATCGTCGCCATGATTATGTATTTTGGAACTGTTCACGTTGAAATTGCTTCGTTAATCAGCAGTCTTCCTTGGTTACTTTCTACTGTGTAATGCAGCTACGATCAACGATACTTAGCTAGTACATTCATAGTAACACTAACTGCACTGAGAAGAGTAAAAAATTTGAGCTTTGACGGAATAACATTTCCTTGTTTTTAGATACGGTTACTACTCTAGTGAGGGGTTCATAGCTGATCATTAAGGTCTTACTCACAATAATTTGTGCTCTGATATTGGCCGTACTGACGGCTGTTGAAAAAGCCACTCCGTCAGATGCGCGCCGCAAGAGTCCACCCCTGTAGACCCCACTACGTACAAAATTTGAAATTTTCCCAAAAACTTCTGATTAAGCTAGTTTGTTTTCAATAACTTTTGCAATATTTACAGTAGACCCTTCAAATTTTCACCAAATGTTACTCCAGACATTTCTGCATGGTAACTGTGTCATAGAATTTTAATTTAGGGACCCAATTTTGTGCAACACTCCGGTACCTGACGACCGGTCGCAGACGTGGTTATTGTATTGTCAACTTCTATTGCACACTGAGCGAGCTATATTTTGAGTACAAAGATAAACTTTACACCAGGTGAAAGCTGAGACGTTTCTCTTTAAGATGATCACCTCACATTCTGTGTATCTGTGACATTGAGATAGTAACGAATCAAAACGTCAAGTTGAACAGGCTACAAAATACGCGCTGAATAAAAGTCCACCCCAGGAGTCCACCCCACGCGCGTAGGGTGATAAAGCCCTATCGATAGCCACAAACCGCATCTTGAAAATTGCAACGTGAAAATTTGCAAAAAAAAGACAAAACGAATTACCAAATTTGTATTGGTGTAGCCAAAATTACCGATTTTTGCTAATATCTCTACAAATAAGCATTTTAGAGCATACAATGATTCATAAGTCTTATATAAATGTGCTCATTGCGAATATTTTTCAATATCGGAGAAGTTTCTACGACCTTTCTAGCTCGAGATATAAAAATAATCCGATAATTCCGGCTGTGATGAGCCAAAAAACAGTTTTTCGTAAATATCTTTAAAACTAGGCACTTGAGACCTTATATTGCTTCATAACTTGTATATAACTAAGGGTATTGCCGTTATTTTAAGCCAATATTCAAGTCTCTAAATCTTTTAGAAGCCGAGATACAAAAATCCCAAATTGGCGCCTGAGGGCAATTTAGAAATTTCGCCCTATAGGACTGGGACTAGCGATACAAAATTGCTACCTAGATGATTTTGGTTTGGAATGACCTAATGCAAGACCCTATGTGGTCAAAAATTGTGGACATTGAAGTGCACACTCAACTCCTCTCTGCTACTAGAGTACTGTGGTGAAATCATTAACTAGGATCACATTTTCTGGCATAAATATGACTGTTTATGTAGAAATTTTGAGCACTGAAAATTTGTTTTCAAATTTTTGAACTAAGTTTGCATTTTGGTGAGAACTTCTGGCACCAGTATGACAGAAGATGCTTAAAGAATAGTATTGATCAAACAAAACGAACATTGTTCAATATAGGAAGAAAAAAATGCTAAAATGGCTACACGCCTCACAAAATGGCCAAAATATGCCTCACAAAATTTGTTTTCAAATTTTTGAACTAAGTTTGCATTTTGGTGAGAAATTCTGGCACCAGTATGACAGAAGATGTTTAAAGAATATTCTTTAAACATCTTCTGTCATACTGGTGCCAGAATTTCTCACCAAAATGCAAACTTAGTTCAAAAATTTGAATTTTTTTTGATGAATACTATTTAGTATTCATCAAAAAAAACGAACATTGTTGAACAATATAGGAAGAAAAAAATAGCTAAAATGGTTACACGCCTCACAAAATGGCCAAAATATGCCTCACAAAATGGCCAAAATTTAAAACTCCTTTTATTGATGTAGACATGTTAGTTTTGATGGTCTAAAGTATTCACAAGCTATTTATCATACAATAACACCCCAGATGGAGTGTTTTTACAGCCGAATGAAGGTTATAAATCATGAAATCAGGGAATATGAACAAAATGGCCATTTTTGGTGTAGGAAATTATGCCCTTTTTATTCAGTTCTAAGAAATTTTACCTATATGGGGGTGTTAACAAGGCATATTTATACCAGCAGCATGCCTGAAACAAGAGCCAAAGGTTTTAGAAAAATAAAATTTTCTCGGTTTCATTTTTTTTTGGCCATTTTGTGAGGCATTTTTTTTGTTTGTGAAATAATTTTTCACAGCTCAGTTTTTTCGTGAGTTTTAGGTTATTACCCCATTCCTTAATAGGTTTTCTAAGAACGTGTGGTGATAGAAATTTAAAAAGTATCTCCATCAAAAAATTATAGAAATTCAGATTTGGCCATTCTGTGAGGCATGTTTTTTTGGAGGAAGATTTTCCGGCCAATTTTTCTCAAAGAAAAAATGGTTATGAGATTAAATCAACCCCCGGGAAGAAATATATGAGTGTCAACTTAGCTTCTTATGAGATAAAAACTGGAATAAAGTGTGTTTTGTGATTATGAGAGACCTTTCTTTTTTTGGCCATTCTGTGAGGCATATACCCGTATCGTGTTAAAATTAATGCCAACAGAATCTAAAATAATGATTCTCTAAGTTAAATAAATTTATGATTTACAGATGCAATAACATAAGTTTTTGTATCGAAACTAATCCCCGGATATTAGTGGATACAACAGCTTATAAACTCTTTTCGTGATCAATGTTTCCCGCAATCAAACAACGAATGAGTTCTTAAAATTTCCAATAAGATAAACTCTTTTCGTATCTCAGTAAACGTAAAGTGGGGAAAGGAGAAGTTCAGTGAGATTGAATGCAACACGGATGAAGCTCCTCTTATCTTCAAATCAGCTTTATACTCTTTAACCGGAGTCGTACCAGAACGAATGAAGGTTATGGTCAAAGGCAAAGCTATCGGGGTTAGTAAATTTCCTTCTTTCTTCTTCATTGATTATTCAAGAATTCCGCTGTTGCCATATATCCGCAATTTTTCTTATATTCTCTAAGAAATTTGAGAGATGCAGTGGAAGCTTTTCACGAAAATAATCAAAATATGAAGTGATCCCAGTAAACGATCTGGGTGTATAACTTGGAGGTGTTAATGGATATCTCCTTATTTCAGTAGAGTCTTTGAGCTTTTCCAGTAAATCATTCATGCGAAAGTAATCATCAACAATGAAACCATCCATCGGAAACATTATTACCATGCATTTTATTCTTGCTCGTGACATTGCTAAGTATAGATGCTGCAAGTCTTTCAACCCTTTTTCAGCAAATCCTTCTTCTGAACAAGCTGTTGGAATCATGTCAATGAAGCGCTCATTCTTACATATTGCATCATCGTGAAATAATTCATGCAATTCTTTACTGAGAATTGACTTTATAAGTTCTTTATCAAAATTTGTCAATAAATGTATGACAGATTTTTACCCATGTATTTAATGCCCAGGTTTCTGAAAAGGGACAAAATCATTGTATATTAAATTTGATTCTAGGTAAGTTTGCTCAATGATTTGATCTCGAATTATTGATAAGGTATTTGATAAATCATAGGTGTTTCTCAAGTTCTTTGATAAATGCACTAACTGTGAAGAAGATAGCTCGTCGTTGAAAAATCTTGCTAAAATTTTGGAGGGTTCTGAAACAGGTTGTGCATCGATGCAAAATCCACTTTGTATCGTATAACATACCACCCAAACATAATGGGATCTTGAAAACTCAAACACTGTTTTGATAAATCCAAAGTCATTTTCTATCACTCCTGGATTACTACGTATGATTCCTTGCATGTCTTCAAAAAACAAGTTAACTCCATTTAATAAACCAAGTAAGGCCCCCAGCGATTTAGTAGAACGGAGATTAAAATTAATATCATAATCAATGCCACTACGTTTGATTATGACAACTTGATTATCAAGGAAATGACTTGTAATCTCACGATAGATCGTGAACGGATTACAGGCCTCACTTAGAACTACTGACACGTGCTTTATTCCAGCTTTTTCTAGTGTTGTCTGATAGTAATCTAGAGATATTTTGGTAGTTAAAAAGTTAAATAGGTTTCGCAGATTGAGACAACTTTGTTGAGTTCACTGGACAACACTAGGTGTAGTATCTTAGCCATCAGTACAACAGTTTTGCCCGCTCCAGCTGGTCCGTTGATCCATAAAAACTTCTCAGTCGAATTCATCAAATCATACTACTGCTTGGTCAAGTTATCCACTCCTAAAAAGTCCTTGAATAGAGATGGTGTGTGAACAACTTCACGGTTATTACCCCTGAAAGTGAATCTTCCAGAGCGCAATTGCTCGTCAATCTTCGAGATGCACCTACCAAGACTACACTTGGCTTTATCACAACCATTCTTCTCTGTGCACCAAATAGCTAATAATAAGTTCCTAGTAATATCATGCTGGGTACAGAACTCTGGACGCAATGGTTCATCCAAAACTAGATCACTTACGTTGCCTTGCCACCAATTACTAATATCACCGACATCTGAAACTGGTTTTTAAATTTTTTTTATTAATTAGGGTAGGCAGTAAACTGCAGAATGGTTAAACATCTGAAGGATCGTTTAGTAAGTGCCACCATCTTATTCTCTGCTCAAGTGATTTCTTGAATGTGTTTGCCAATGCTCGCGACTGTTTGTTAAGCCCAGGATCTGATTGTTCGCCGATGTGACCCATATTCTTAACTTCAATTATTACAAAGGAGTTTGGTGCTATCACTACAAAATCACACTCGCCTTCCCTATCGGCCGCCGCCTTTTTACACCGAACACACTTTCGTTTATCATGAGACGAATCTCCCAAATGGTATTGAAAATGTAAATACTCAAAACTATGGAGAACTATAAAACTCCACACAGTTTCTCTAATGCTCTATACACCATTAACCTCCGCCTCATAGTTAACCTGTTGTTTTCTGTCCTTTTCAAAGCTGCATCCCGCCTGATCTTCATTTGGGTAAACATCAAAATAGGTTTGTTCAGGAGCTCTGGGTAACATGATGGGACTGTCATTTTTAGCTGAACAGTAGGATTCAAATATTTCTTTTCCATTCTGTAGATACCTGTCGTATTGCGTTCCATTCTTTGCCATGGCACTACTTCTGTATTGATAATGAGCCGTGATTTGAAGTTATGGTTTTATTTATCAATGATGATTGATGATATTAAAGAACTGAACAATTTAATTAAACATTGTTTTGACCGAAAATCCAATAAACCTCCATAAATATTTGTTTTCACTACGATGGGATGGTGGGCTCGCTCAGCAATAACTCGACGAATGCAGTAGCAGCAAAATTAGATGTCATTTTAGTAGAGATTTGATCGTTTAATTAATACCTCATTCGTTTAAAAGTAGGACGCTAGATAATTTAACAGGTTTTAAGTTCGATTTATCACAGCCAATGTGTCTATGAGCAATAGCAATAGCAGCAAAATATCAACACTGCACATAGAGCAACAAAAGGTTCAAAGACGTACACACATCGTATACGAACTGCGGAGTAATAGACTATGATCGAATTATCGAATGACTACACTACGCATTTATGATGAATATTATGCAGTGTATAAATGGCACAGTGCCATGATGCTATATTATAGTGGAAATTCCACTATAATATAAAGCACGGTATACTTTGCTACATGAAACTGGTACACGCCGACAATTTTAAGGGATGTTATCTTACTTTTCCATATGCCCCCAGGCCACAAGCTCTTTACTTGACTTTTAAATTGCCGTCGTATTGAATCGAGTGACTGTTCATCTCGAGGGACATTTCTCTCCTGTAAGGTGAATTACTGTGGTCAGCCTTGGTCTAATATAATGCCACCCTTGCCTCGGCCAAAAACTCTTAGCCTAGGTTAAGGTAGTGTGTACCAGACTTAATCGCCCAAAACTTCGCTACACGAGTGCAGCTCCTCATTTAACCCTCAATCATGGTTGTCCCGATCATTCGGCTGAGTGGACCGAGCCGTGGGGGCTGGCATAGACCCAACGGAGTCCTTATCTCACCCCAGGATTAGCGGCATAGGGCGGGGCTCGAACTGCCAACCTTACGATTGCCAGTCGTAAGGTTGGCAGTTCGATCTGCCATTACACCACTAATCCCTTATTCAATATGAAACTTATGAATCATATTCTCGTTTGTAGCAAAAGCAAAAGCAATTCACTGGATATCAAGTTACAAAACAACTGAATATGTACAAAACTATATTGAGTCATATGAAAAGAGTAACCGAATGAATACCCTTAATTCACATCTTTAATATTATAATGTCCCGTAGAGACATGTTGAGTAGGACAAGCAAGCAACCCCCCTTCCCCGGCCCCCCTCCCCCCCCCCCCCCCCCCCCCCCCCCCCAACACTTAATAACATGTAACTGGTGCAGGACGACACCTGGACTGGGATAAAGAATCTAAAGAACAACATAACCATGATGATGATGGGAAGCGCCAGTGAACTGCCTCCAGAACCAGCAGAGAAGACCCAGTTTATTGAGGACATGTCAGAGAGCCAAGTTAATCAGGCTGTAAGTGTATTATTACCTAATATGGGCATCACGTGTCACTTGTCAGTGTATCAAGTGTTGTGTTATTTCTTCTATCGCTACTTTTAGTATTTCCAAACTTCTTTCTAGCTCGTATTTGGAAATTTTCTAATCAAGAAAAGTTTTTTTTAGTAATCAGATTAACAAAAATTAATTAATTAATCAATTAATAAATAATTGCAGTCAGACTACCCACCTGGATTACACAATCTTGGGAATACTTGCTACATGGCAGCTACTCTACAGTGTCTTAAAACAGTCCCTGAACTTACAGAAAAACTCAAACAATCTTCAGGTAAATAATTGAGATACTTTTGTTAAAGTTGATCTATACCACTAGAATTTATTTTGCGGTATATTTTGTTTTTTGGTGACAAGGTGTAGTAACATAAATAAAGGAACTATTATCGTTTCTGCTGTTCCTGTTGGATACCCATTTCTGAAACAAACAAACAAACAGAACATTATCGTTTGATTCAAACAAACACAGCTATTACAACCCCTTTTCTTAACAGGTCAGTTCACGAGGCAGTCCATGGTTGGTAGTGAAGGTATCTGTGCGGCTATGAAGCAGCTCTACACAGAAATGGACAAAACATCCGAGTCTGTCACCCCTCTGGTCATGTTGAAAGTGTTGCACATGACATTTCCTAGATTTGCTGAACGAGGGGAAGGGGGTGTGTTCCAACAGCAGGTTATTACTGGCTTGCTACTGACATGCTACTGGCTTGTTACTGGCTTGTTACTGGCTTGTTACTGGCATGCTACTGGCATGCTACTGGCTTGTAACTGGCATGCTACTGGCTTGTACTGGCTTGTTACTGGCTTGTTACTGGCATGCTACTGGCTTGTTACTGGCTTGTTACTGGCATGCTACTGGCATGTTACTGGCATGTTACTGGCATGTTACTGGCATGTTACTGGCTTGTTAATGTAATCTTCAATTTTATTGCGATCAATACGCTCTTTTAAATATTACAGCACAATGTATTCACAATGGCCTACTATACAACATATGCTGTACTTAATAAAGATTGTACGACAGCTGACCTGCTGCGCTTACAGGATGCAAACGAATGCTGGACGGAGATAATGAGGATGATGTCGGAGTACTTGCCAGGTGAAGGGAGCACTAACACTGAAACTGTCCGGAAATCCTACATAGAACAATATTTTGGGGGCGAGAATGTTACAACGATGAAGTGCAGTGAAACGGAGGCAGAACCAGAGACGAAGTCAATAGAGAAGTGGACCCAGCTCCGATGTCATATCAACACTGATGTCAGATACATGCAAGTCGGTTTAACCATGGTGAGTTATTAAGAAATACTTTTCGCCAATCCAACATAATTCATAAGATTACGGGAGGGTCGGTTTTTCAAGATACGAGGGGAAACGTGTGCAGACCACTCCCAATGAGAGGATGGGATGTTTTCTCAAGATCTGTGGCACATTTGTGGCTCGTTCCCATTTCTTGCCTCATCTATTATATCTGGCCGTTTTAGAGTGGTCCTGTATATGTGTTTAGTATATTATGGTTACAGTAGTTGCTGTGAAGGTAAACCATAAATATTAGATCGTAAGTAAATCAAGATGGGGACCGTGCCACAAAAGACAAGAATGAATCCTCTGGTCCTCTGAATGAGAGGTTCTACTTTGTGTCATTTTGGAAGCGGCGACAAGTTATCTTTAGACTTGTTCGCGCTGGCACCGCCATTTACGTACGTACGTACGTACTTAAATTTAATGGCGTAATTACGCGCGCGCGCGAATTACGCTTTTCTCGATAAAACTCTCCAAGATCCTAAAATCTGCCTGCTTGTACGTGTAGCTAGCAAGCATGATGAAATCGATCACCTCAGGTGATTCACCTGACAATTGACATTGACTCAGAATTTTAAAGTTGGAAGCAGTTGATGAAAAAATAATGAAATCGATAATAGCAAGACAGTACACCTCGATTATTTCCGGTTTTAGTCACCGGATTAAGCTGTGGTTGTTATATTTTGAATAGTGCATTAGGTGAATATAACATAAGATGGTAAACCAGCATTGGGTCATCATTATGATGCTGGTGCTTTACAGAACTATATTGAAACTTTTTCCAAATAAAAAGCATAGCATCGAAAACTACCTAATCTATAAAAGAGTTGAATAATTATTATAAAGGCATCCTGTCAAACGGGAGTCCGACGTAGAGTTTGGGTGAATTAGAAGTTAAGACTTAAGTTATCAGTAAATTTGAGGACAGGTTTTGGTTAATCCAAAATCCTGTGTTTCGGGATACCTAAATAAGATATCCACACTTGCAATTAACATGATTGGTGGCAACTTAGCGTTTGCGGTCTCACAATATGAATATTCCATTTTTCAGGGTTTGAAAGAAAACATAGAAAAAACTTCAGCTACATTGGAAAGAAACGCTGTTTATGTTAAAACTGTGAGTTAACTGAATTATTTACTGTTTGTGACGCGCTCTTTAATTACTGATGCTAATTTGTTTTATATATATTTTTAAAATAATTTAAACGTTTTACTTGAGCAGTCTCGGCCACCAAAATACTAGGATATAATCTGGCTAATTATCGGCCTCTTACCATGCCAAGGGAGTGGTATTGTTTTTTGTCTAGACTAGATATAATTGTAACTTGAGTTTAATTTTAATTGGTAATACTATAACTAAGAATATTAGCTGCCATTTTGTTCTGTTGAAATAGCCGTATTAGGGGTCGTTCACATATTACGTAATCAGCCGAGGGGGAGGGGGGGTTCCAAATGCTTACGGTTGATTACGGGGGGGGGGGGGGGGTTTCGGTCGTTGATTACGTAATCAAAATTTTCTTTTTTACCCTCTAGAATAATAACAATTTGATATTTTAATTCAAATTCCACTCAATTTCACTCTGATAGTGATAAAATTCAGAAATTGATCGAATATCCGGCTATAATAGTAAGTAGTTTAGAAGGTGCTTGGCCGGATATCATAACAATGATTTCGGCTCATCATGATAGCATGATCAGGGTAGCATGAAACGTAGAGAAAAGTGTTTTCTAGGAAAAAAGGTTAAGGAGGGGGGTCAGGCCATGATTACGTTATATTGCTGTCAGGAGGGGGGGGGGGTTGGGTCTTGATTACGGTTGATTACGGAAGGGGGGAGGGGGGTTAAAATTGCTAAAATATTGATTACGTAAATTTATGTGAACGACCCCTTAGTATGTTTTGGTATTGAGTTTAAAGATATCTCCCTGGACAGTGTTAGTTATACTGCCGTTTTGAATTTATTATTAAGAAACAACCTAATGTTCGATATTAATTATGATGTCGTTTTCCAATATATGACATGTCGCAATTACATCATCTCTTGTAGTATCAACTCTGATCTTTAACACAGCTTTTATTTTTCAGTCGAATGTGAACCGGTTACCCTCCTATTTGACCATTAATTTCATACGATTTTTCTACAAAGAAAAGGAGAACATAAACGCTAAAGTGTTAAAGGTACTACCTCTTTGTGTGATCTCCACGTGACAGCGAGCTTCAAAGAAAATTGGCTTCTTTGATCATAACCACTTAACATCAAAGCGGAATTGAGTTATGACATTATGCGGCTCAAATACATATTTAATAATATATGCGCTGTGATGCCTTTTAATCTTGCCAGCTCAATTATTGCATGTGGAAGCAAGCAAGTCACGTGCTGCACGGCAAATAGTAAACAGGCTGCTGACTTCTACTTTCAGGATATAAAGTTTCCGATGGAGTACGATGCTTTTGAGTTGTGTACCCCGGAGTTGCAGACCAAGATAACGCCCGCTAGAGACAGATTTGAGGCACTGAGAATGAAAAAAATTGAAATAGAATTGGTAAGTCACCAAATAAATTGGATAATTGATATGCTATGGCCGTGAGTTTTCGAAACAAGGCTTTAGCCTTATAACTACCGCTTTATGGTGAGTTTCTCGTGGTATCTGCTTTTGACAGGTTCCCATGGTTATTATACGTTATGATATTTACCGCATGTCTTCAAGTCGTTTAAGTGACGTCACAATCTAGGAGTAAATGTTTTCGTAAATATTACTGATTCTGATAACTAAGAGGTACTTCTGACCAAAGAGGGGGCAGGGCTGGGGCCAACTTGGTTTTTGTCTATTTCTCCCCCAAAAATCGCCAAATTGATATAGACTATAGAGACAGGTTGACAAAACCTATTATTGAGTAAAACTTACACAGCGGGTCCCTAGTATTTGATATAGATTTACCTCATTCGAAAAATTGTATACTATATCAGTTTATTCGCATTATACAGCTGAACAACTTATAGATGCGATCATAAAACGTGTAGTCAGGGGGGGGGGTCCACGTTAAAAAAGTTAAATTCTAAGATCGAGATTTTGGAATTTAACATTAATTACTTTAACTTTTTTAACTTTTTTAACATAAATTAAAAATCAGATTTTGGCTGACTAATCGGTTCAAATTTTAACATAATTACCCAAATTAAACTCAATTATGAGTGTTGACCTTTAGTACTAGTAGTACCTCGCTCTTGCAATTGTTTTCTGTAGTTGTAACTGATTTGATAACTCTACAAAAAAAACACCTTGTATCTATATATACACACAATTGTATAATTTACTAATATAATCATTCATATAATACGAAAAAAGAATATGGCTTGGCGGTGTAAGTGCGGAAGGGTTATGGAAAGTCTCACATACGACAGATGTTTACGTTGCAATTTAGCGAAGGCATCAGGAGAGTCGCTCATTCGATTGAAGGGTTCCTGTAGCTGTAATCCCTGTACCCGAACCATCTACTGAGGACACATCATCAGGTATTGATACTCCGGAGCTTCCTCCAGCTGTAATCCCTGTACCCGAACCATCTACTGAGGACGTATCAGTTGTTGTCAACACTTCAAAAAGGGCTGCTGATTCATCAAAACCTAGAACTCAATATGATTCTGAAGACGAATCATCTGCTGATGTTATCACTACTGCGATAATAACAAGCAACTCATTCAAGAGGAGAGCTGTCCCTACTTTTAGGATTCCAAAGATTAAGAAACTGACGGTGCAAAGCAAATTGACGATTATGGATAAATCTTCATCGACGGGTCTGAAGAAGAAGGAGCATTTGCGGACTAACACTGATAATTTAACCACGAGAACTCCCACAGTAGACAATTCTAAATTCACAATTGGACGACCAATTGATGTTGATAAGATAAACAGCAGCAAGAAAGTGTTAAATTCAAAGAAGGAAACAGCACTTAACAAGTTGTCTACACGACTCATTGAAGGTGGAACTGCAATCAAGAATGAGAATCAGCAGGGAAATCGGGACAAATTGAACTCTAGAAATACTCCTCCAACAAGTTCTCTGAGTACAATTAGACTGCCAGTACACGATGGAAAAGGTGATAAGCCTGTGATTGCGAAGAAAGAGACTGTTTTAAACAAACTTTCTACAAGATTCGCCACAGAAGATGGCACTTCCACGCCGAAAAACAAACTTTTTAAGGAGAAATCCGGAAGAAAGGCGCTCGATGCCGAAACGATTAAAGATAGATGCACGGTCAGGACGAATTTTGAAATTGAATTGTGGAAGTGTAACGACATGGTACCTGGCCAGATTATCAAGGCCAAAGCAATTCAACGGGTTTTATTCAGACTTGGGTGTTCTTTAGAGGAAGCTTGCCTACAGAATATATACAATATTTTCGGAGGAAAAAAATCCAGGTGTCCTACGTTATCAATTGTGCGATCCATGGAGCGGGTATTAAGACTAAAATCTAAGAAAAGACCTCGTCGGATCACGGATGATGAGTATTTTACCTACCCCGGAATGTCAGAATGGAACAAAGAGTACAGATGATGTGGTGCAGAATACTGTGCATCAGCCATGCCCAATAGCTAGAGTGAAACCAATCTTGTCATCGGAAACTATTCAATCTATTCCAAAAATACAAGGAAAGCTGTCTACTAATTATGTCCATTCAAATGTGACAGGGAAGCATTCTTTTGCCTTTATTTCCCACATTGCGGTAATGCTAGAGATAACTAGATCACTAGGTCCAAGCAATTTGAAAAGTTGTGACGATGAGGAACTTGTGCATAGATCGTTGAATGAAATAAAAAATAATCAGGATTCAAAAAAATATCTAAATGTAATTGATAGCGCGGAAGATATTGAAAATGAAGTCCCTGAAGTCTTAAAGCAGGTAAAGAACCTATTGGGGTGTGTGAAAGTGAAACAACCAGATCGAAGTTCTGTTTCAAAACATAGATGCTCTCATAATCTAAAGAGCCATTTAGCCAGTTATATAATATAATAACATCTATAAACAAAAGAGCACCTAAAGAGGCTCAGCAAAGTGCTGGCCTATTTACGCTTACGAAGACTCATTCGTTCAATATGTCTCAAAGTAAATAAACTCCTCCATCCTACTCTATCTCTTGCTAAGTTCACTAAGTTGGTAAAATCATCTTCATTTTTTAAATAAATTTGTCTCTTAAATAGGTCCTTTTCACAATAATATCATACAAATTAGTCCTGTGTCTACCCACTCGTCCCTTTAGTGTTTGACATCCTAGTGTAGCAAATAACAGAGACTGGTAGGCAGGTGTGTCGTTGTCACTGCGTAGAACATGACCTAGCATTGTCCACCGTGCCTTTTCCACTCTCTCGGAAAGGGGCCTGGTCTGGGTACGAGCGTAGAGGGCCTTGTTAGATATTGAGCTAGGCCAATATGTGTGTAGGATGCGCTTGAGGTGCTTCCTCTGAAGAACATCTACAGACTCTAGAACATGCTGAGGTACGGCCCAGCAGTAGCAGTTGTACAGGAGCACTGATACTACTAGTGAGTCGTAGAGTTTGATCTTTCTCTTCTCAGTTATCTGACTCCTCTCTGATCCCTGGCACCACAGCTTGTCAAATGACCAGAAGGCAGAGTTAGCTTTATTTATTTTATTAGTAACATCCTGCTCTGATCCAAGCTTAGTACCAAGAAGCGTCTCGTTTCTCCACTCCTCTTTTCCTCTTAGTTCATTATCCCACTCGTCACAGGCACCAACTTCTTCTAAATACACTCTGGTAAACTTTGTCTTTGTGTCATTGACAAAGAGACTCCATTCACTGAGAATATTCTTGGAGATCTGAAAGATATCCTGTAACTCCTCCATATCTTCACCTATCTCCTCTACATCGTCTGAATAGCCGGACTCAAGAGGCATGTGGTTATCGGCTATCGGAGGGTTGGGTCTTGAGGGGAGGACTGCTCTTATGTGCACTACAGCTCCAGCTAGATTGAGGGTAAACAATTTACCAGCTGTGCTGTCTCCTTGGGAGGCTCCTATGTTGAAAGAGAACATCTCTGAGTCAGTAGAACACACTCTGACTACTAGAGTGGTGTTAGCCATGAGGTATTGTACAAGCCTCAGGTCGTCTCTGGAGCATCCTGCAGCTTCTAGTAGTCTGATTGTTGTACCTCTGCGGATGGTATTGAAGGCAGCTGACATGTCGATACTCACTTTGTTCCATTCAAACTCCTTCTTCATTACTACAGATATGAGCATGCTCTGTGCCCAAACTAGGTCGGCACAGCTCCTGCCAGCTTTGTAGGCAGCTTGGAACGGTCCGGTGAAGTTGTCCACAGCTCTCTCTATTCTGTTTAGCACTATCAGTGACAGGATCTTTCTAGAAACATTCAGCAGGGTCAATTGCAATGGTCGTATCGACTTAACTGGGCCACGAGTTTTACCAGGCTTAGCCAGTGGTGTGAGGATGCCTGCTCCTATTGCTTCAATGTGAATGTTTTTCTCGAAAGACTCGTTGAACACATTAGCCAGCTCTTCATGAAGGAGGGGGTTGTTCAGGGCTTTCATGACCTCGCCAGGAACTTTATCAATACCCACTGCTTTACCAGAATTGAGTTTACTGATGGCTCTCTCTATCTCTGCAACGGTGATGGGACTGTTAAGGCTAGATGGGGGGTCAAGGAAGGCAGGAAGGGTAGGCTCATCAGCGTCGTTGAACTCAGCTTCAAAGTACTCCTTAATAATCCTCGCTTTCTCCTCATCATTACCTGCGATATTCCCAGCAGGGTTGTGGACGGTTAGAGCTGGTCTAACATATCCTTTGGCGAGTATCTTAGATGCTCCAAAGTATCTCCGGGCGTCGTCTGTGTTGTTTACCTCTTCGACGAGTGTGTCAGCACTGCGGTTGTTGATATCTCTGAGTCTCTTTGTAATCTTACGTCTCAGCTGGTTGATGTTGGTCTTGACATGCTTCCTGTTGGTCGGGAATTTGTTCTGCATATTCGCAATCATCAGCTGCTTGCGTTCAAGTGACAGTTCAGCGATCTCAGGATCAGTACTGAAGGATTTGTGCTTTTTTTAGCCAGTTGTTTGGCCATAAGAGGTAGCCTCCCTAGTCTTGGGACATCAGGAATGTCCGAGGAAGAGATTATTGAGGAACATCTATTTTCATTACTGAATAATGATGTATGTCGTGATATAATGAAGATTCCTCAACCGTGTGATGTTAATCGTATTACAAGTGAAGTTCTAAAATATATGAACGACGATAAGGACTCGGCTGCACTATAGTGAAAATTATTTTAATGATAGACTTTTATATTCAGGTTAAATGATATAAGTAACTTCAAATTAGAACCTCAAGTTCTTTTATTTACGTTGTTACAGTAACACCTGTAAAATTTTTACTTCATTGACACTGTTTTTTAATTTTGTAATATAATATATTGACAAATTGTTTGAGCGATAACTTTTACATTGAAACATCATTAGAATTTTATTCAGTTATTAATTCATTACGATTAGTATCACTAGATTTAATGATATAGATTATCATAGCCCTATTTTCAGTGTTGACACTGTGAATGGAATCTGTTGTTTTTTTAAAATTATTTATGAATCAGCTGTTTATATTTCTATGAATTATAATTTATTATTGTAATGATCAAATGTATCAATTATTTATCGGTTGTACCTATGTTATATGACTGTTTTACTCTTGTCATGGGCATTCCTATATTCCTACATGTAATGACTAATGAACAAAAATACCAACGCATGACCTAAAAGTAAACTAGTCTAGAATATTCACTCCATTGCAATGTCAACCCAAATTTGAATTTATGTTAAAAAAGTTAAACTTTCTAAGCCTGAATTTTGAAATTTAACATTAATTAGTTTAACTTTTTTTAACTTTTTTTAACGTGGACCCCCCCCCCCCCCCCCCCCCCCCCTAGTCATCTTCGCGACATATTTAATATTGTCACGTGATCCCCAACATCCATAACAAGAATTGCGAATAGAAACCCGCCTTCCCCCATCTCCAAAATCCCTCTTTTTCTGAAAAAACGTCCGTTCGTAACCTTTCATTTATCATTTTGGCAAAAATGATGAACGAAAAATCAACATGCGTCAACCGGGTTGTAGTCAGTAGTGTCTATCAGAGAGATTAAACTCAAAAACCATCACAGTTCAACAACTTAACTGCTTGACCTGAAATGTTTATTACGTCCAGAACGGTCGGTTTCCGAGAATTGCTGTAGATTCTGAAAAGCAGCCGTTTAGTTTAGAGTAGAACTAGAAGTCACGTTTTGATGGGAACTGGTACAACACTTTGATATGTAACCTGTATGTACCTCCTTTAAGTTGACCTCTAGGTAAACGTTGGTGGCGTTATTGAAACTCAAAATATACCTTGATCGACTCTTCTTAGGTGGTCCAAACATTTCAAAAATTTGTGTCTATCAACCACTCCTTAATATCCCCAATTTGGCATGAATTGGACAAAAATCAGGTCCCCCACCTCAATATATGACAGAGAAAAACCACCAACTAACAGTGACATGTACAAGTTACTGACCCTATACTTCAAACCACAGTCAGGTGATGTAAAGAACAAAAAGAACGAAAAAAAGAAGGAAGAGAAGGAAGTGAACTACGAGCCATGTTCCTTCTCAGATGACCTAGGGTCCAGTAACAGCGGATACTACGAACTCCAAGCTGTGCTCACTCACCAGGGTAGAAGTTCATCGTCTGGTCACTATGTTGCTTGGGTTAAACACACGGAAGGTATGTATAGTAGCGTATAGTAGTGTATAGTAGTGTGTAGTAAATGTATAGTAGTGTATAGTAGTGTATAGAAGTGTGTGTAGTGTATAGTAGGGAGTGTGCAATGTTCGTGTGATTCTTTCAGTAGCTCAGGATTACTTGTAGCTGAAGAGCGAATTGCTGCTGCCGCATTAAAAACTCCCGTGCGAAATAACTTTGTATTCAAGTTGTCACAAGGCAATGAATTCTTGCCGCTCAAGCTGGCATAATCCGAACTTAAACCATGGAACCCATTTAACGCAATTATAGAACGTGTCTCCAATCCTGCAAGGATGAAATTGTTTTTTATAGATACCACCCCATTCTTCAGAACTAGGCCACACCGATAAACGGTTTGGGAAGTGATGGAGTAGGGAAATTAGTTATGCTCGGCGGCTGCATTTATCATTCCTACATGGTGTAAAATAAAACTAATATCTCTATAATCAAGAAATCTTACCCAGCGTGAATTTCAGATAACTGGATAAAATGTGACGATGAAAAACTGAGTATTGTGAAGGAGGAAGACATCTTGAAACTTAGCGGAGGAGGTAAGCAATTATGCTATTATTTATTATGCTATTATTAATTAAGCAATTATGTGGTTGTGCGAATATTTTATGAAAAATGTATACATAATATTCTCGTGGTTTATTTTCAGCGGGCCCCTGGTTGAAAGGTATTCATATTCTACCTTATATATTAATGACCAACATAATTTCTCGGTCTTTTATACTTGGTTTGTTTTGATGGAAGTGGTACAACAATTTTATATGTAACCTCCTTAAAGTTGACCTGTAGGTAAATTTTAGAAACTCAAAATGTTCCTTGATCGCTCTGCGTCCTAAGTTGGTCGAAACATTTAAAACAAGTTTTACAATTTATGTCCATCAACTACTGCTTAAAGATCCCCAATTTAAAAAGAACTACATAGAAATTACTGAGAAATGGTTAAACTTAAGATTTTGAAAATTCTCCCAATTTTCCACCGAATTAGATACTTTTTTGAAGCCCAGCCAAGAAATAATCCAGCAATTTGTTTCAATATGAGTGACTACTACCAAAAATTGATATTTACCTGATTGAATTTTGAATCTTGACCTTCTCGTTCTCTAAGGCATTGCAGCGACTTATTCCTCGACTTTTGGTCAAATGGGCAATGGGTATGGGCATAGATTGGCATTGCCTTTAAAAGTAGTAAAAGTGGGGAAGTTGAGGAAAATCAAGGCAACTAAATTTCAATAACCGGACGTTCCCATACTCTAATCTGACAAAACTATTCCTGGAGAAAAAATGATTGCGTGGGAAAAACTATTGATTTCGACCTAAAATGGTGAAATACTCAAAAATCACCAAATTCGATCCTGCATTAAATATACGCAGGACCGAATTTGGTGATTTTTGAGAAATTTTTAATTTGTTACATAAGTTAGCTGCTTAATCTTGCAGTAATCACTTGATTCCTGTCTACTCCCTACGTACTTTTCACCGTATATTTATAACTATGAGGAAACGAATTTTACTGCAAATGTTGACTCCATTTATGGCGCTTAATGTTGGTGGTGACTACCTGGTGGGTCCCCTATATAGGTGGTAGTGGGCAGACTAGACAGAACGAGCTTCCTGTGAGGCCTATATTTCGTTATATGGCAAATACGTGGTCTCTATTTCTAACATGGAAATCAAGTTAACGTGGAGTGTATTATATATCGGTTTAAGAGCTTTAACAAATCTAATAGACAGGAGTTAAGTAGGATTGTTGTAGAAGATGTTGTTATAAAGGGTCCGGTGTTGAATAAATGGAACTTTTGGTACTCAAAACGTTCTGGTTTAACCGGGTTTTAGTTACTCATTAGTATTTACTAGTTGTAAGCTCGTTAACAAATTACTTCATTTCAGGTGACTGGCACGTAGCTTACACACTACTGTACGGTCCCAAACGCCTTGAAATATGGGAGGACGAGAAGAAAGAAGAAGATAAGAAAGAAGAAGATAAGAAAGAAGAAGATAAGAAAGAAGAAGATAAGAAAGAAGAAGCAGTTCCTGAGATGGAGAAGATGGAATGAGATGATCTCCATTTATAACACGTGTTTTAAGCGTCTGGTACGATTGAGCACTCAGTTAGCACACAAGCACTCAAAGTTAACTGCAGAACAACGCCCCTCCGACATTTCAATTGTGCTTCATTTGTATGTTTATATAGTAGGTTTTTTTCGTACTGGTCAATTGTGTGTTTTATTTCTTCAAAATTAATGATATTCTTTAATTGAGCTCTGCCAATGGGTGGTCATTCTAATTGATGTGTATGAGAACATGTTGTGACTCGTAAGGAACTGATAGCTGATAAAGCTTATCGTAGCTAACTTGTGAGAAATATTGGTTAGTAAAGCAGAGCTCAGTTTATGGATACCTCAGAAGATAAACTCCAATCTCTTATCAAAAGAGTAAATACAGATTACAGATATGCAAACGATAAAACAAATATTTTACCGAACACAAGTAAAAGTTTTTAGGTTCTCTAAAAACACTTCATCTCATAATTTCAATGGTAAACATTGAAACTGTTCATTTATTTCAAGCCATTATAAAAGCTCAAGTTCATAATTCATGCCGATTTCGGTCGCACTGTATAGTAGGTCAAATGTAACATTCTAACACAATCAAGTGTGTTCCTCAATTTAAAACCTCTGGACACAATATCACGCGAATTCTGACATGAAGCTTCTATTAAATCTATTACTAAAACTAACACTAACCCATACCATTAAAGCTAAGACTTGTAGGTCCTATACGTATAGACTCCAACCTTGCAGGCGTTGCTAGGTAACAAGATTCTGCTTCATAATTCACAGTTCAAATATGAAATATATTTTTTGTTTCCTGATCGAATTCAAGTTATTTTCTTGGACTCAGACTAAGACTGTTTGTCCCCTGAAACAACTGTGGAAGTAATCTTTACTGCTATGATGTGCACGTGACAATAATCACGTTAATTCCATATAACGTGGTCAGACACTTGATGCTGATATCTTCTTCACGTTGACGCGTGGTACGAAGCCCTGCCACTTGACCACTCCCGTCGTGTGTACCCATATCCAGGTCTTGGAGGAGATATTGGAGTCGGTGGTTATCAGTGTGTCCCCCTGAATAGGATAGTTTTACTTTAGGGGCCAAATCCTGATTTACGAGTATATATAATTGCACCTGTGTACCGTGAATGAGGTACTACCAGCTTACCAGACAACCTAATAATAATATTAAAATTACACAAGTAAAATGAACAAGGAATAAATGGCTGCGAAACTACTGTTACTACAAGTGGGGTTGCACGTCAGGTATTACCTTATATGAGCATCACGTGACTACTACTACTGTACATACCTTTATCATGGTGAACTGCCGTGAGCCGCTACCCACAGTATAGTTATCTATCACTATCAGAGCAATGCAATTCGTGAGATTTCTTTTGAATAACTGCGGGAGTAAAGTAATGAGATTATTTATAAATTCTTGGATGTAACTCTCAGTTTAAGTTGAACACGAAGGTGTAACTGTAAACTTGTATCTCACGTTTTTCTAGTATTCTTACTGTCAAAAGACACCTCTAAGATTGTATGTAATAATGTATTATTATTATTATATTTCACAGAGTTTATTGAAATTCTTTGAAAATAATTATTTATAAAACTTGTAACCGCTGCAGCCTTTTTATATTTTCATTTCGGAATTCAGACTCGATTTCAAATATATAACAAAATGGATACTAGAACGAGAAGACAAGCTGAATAGACATTTTGGGACATGTTATATTGCAAATAAAGCCAGCAAGCTCAACTTATCAAGACAAAAGAAACCCATACCAAAAGTACTTAAAATTTTCAGCAAAATTGGTAAAATCGTTGCCTGAGATTGACGATTATAGTGAATTAACGCAGCTGACCACTAATATTCACTTACTTTGACTCTGTTATCTCTAGGAGTGCCGATTGTAAAGTTCCGTATCTTGGAGAACCTCTGACTCATGTTATCATGTTTCCGAATCTTGTAGCTCCGGTGTATCTTGGGTAACGAGTTATTAGAAATCTGCTCGGTGCTTATTTCATGCGCTATATAGGGTTAGGCACATAATTTTGTCAGGGTACCTAATTTTGTCATTTTGCTCTGAAAAACTGCCTCGGCTCGGAATTTCAGCTTGAAAGAAAAGGATTGTGTATAAAAAGAAAGCTTAGACTTTGCTGAAACTGCTCGTACAAAGTTTAAGTTTCTAGCTCTTTTGCATCTGTGTCAAAAATGAAGGCGAAACTGTTAACCCGAAAAATAAATAAGATCCTTAAGGTTTTCTTAAGGAATTTTAAAAATTTTGATTTATTGCTATTTCAAAAGTAATTGAGCTAGCTTCATGCCATTGCATATTTCAAATATCTTCTACAGCAGAAGTATACGTACAAATTTTCAAGTCTCTAGCGCAATTATTGTTCAAGTTACAGAGGGTGACAAAATTAGGTTCGATTTTGCCAAAAGTACCTAATTTTGTCAAAAAAATCGACCTTTCTCAAATTTCTTGTAAATCACAGATTGTGTTGAAAATGGCCTTATACAACTATTCTGAAGTTTTTTTGCCCATAGGATATGTATAAGGCACTTATAATAGCATAACACTTATAATAGCATATTTTCGCCGAGAAATATTAGGTGGATAATCTGATTTTTTCGATCTAAAATGACTAAAAAAATATTTGATGAAATTACTAAGCAAGTGATCTATCTACAGACATGAAAATTTCAACCTAGGCCTAGAACCAATCGTTTTTCAAGATGCCAGTGGTTTCAGGGGCATTTGGGGCTATTTTCTAAGATTATATACCCAAAAAGTGTCATCTTTTCATCAAGCTACTAAACTATGAAAACATCATATCTTTGGGATTTTTGAGGTCAATGTTGGTAAAAAAGCGCTCGAATGATGCATCCAGGTAGTCTAAAATACCGAGAAACGGTTACTTTTTGCACAATCTTCAAGTGACAAAATTAGGTTCGGGGTGACAAAATTAAGTAAAGTCACCTAATTTTGTCATTTTTTCAAAATAATTTTTTTGGACATCTTCAACCCCAGCAATTTCGATCATTTTTGTGTTAGAACTTGCCTAGACTGTCTACTATAACATGGTGGAGGTTTCATCTAAATCAGAATTTCAGACGAGGTTAAAACCCATGGTTTATATCAGGCAGTCGGAAAATTGCCAAAAAATGACAAAATTATGTGCTTTACCCTACTGTGTTTTGTTCGAGATAATTTGGTTCAAATTTGGCTATTGAATTTGAAAGAAAGTGAGGTAGCAACACTTATAATCCCAATCTCTAACGTTAACTTTTTAAAGGGGTGCAAGTCCAAAATGAAATGAAGATATTCTCAGGCACTTCCGATTTTCCAATTCTGCTTAAAATTTTAAGTAGGTACTAACTACTAATACTATTGGTATGGGTTCCTTCCGTCTTAAGAAGTTGAAGCTAGCTAGTGCTAGTATCACTATTCTAATGTTTATTTAAAACATTAAATATGTATATTTTAAATTGTGTCTAAAATGGAAATAACAAAAAGTTTGCAGCGGTTACACGTATTAGGTTTCGTTCACATGTTACGTATTCAGCCGAGGGGGGAGAGGTCGCGGGGTTTCCAAATGATGACGCTAGTATAATTTTGACACAATAGCTATGGCCATGGTATGGGGGGGAGGTCAAAATTGTTCAAAAAGTAGTGATTACGTAATATCAAATATGTGAACGACCCCTTACATTACAAAGAATTGTATTACAAAGAATTCCAATATACGTTCTGTGAAATATTATAATGGTCGGTCTTTTGACAGTAAAACTACCAGAAGAACATGATATGCAAGTTTTCATTTTTCGTGTCTAACTTAGATTATTAGGCGTACATTACATATTCCATAGATATTAAACTTTGTAAATAATTCTGAACCCTAGAGGTTATCGCTTCTGTCTGGTAAGGGGCCGTTCACATATTGATATTACGTAATTATTTTACCTCTTCCCCCCCCCCCCCCCCTCTGTAATCAGTTTCACACATAGCTATCGTGTCAAAATTACACTAGCGTAATCATTCGGAACCCCCCCCCCCCCCCCCCCCCAGCTGATTACGTGATATCAATATGTGAACGACCCCTAAAGTATATAGTTCTCGTATCCTCTTCAGAATGGAGCTGATAATGAAAAAGCAAGATACAAGTTTTGAAAACTTAATTACCTTCCGTTTGATGTCGTATAGCGATGAAGCAGAAACACAGGGCTGTCTCGGTGATGACGGACAAATTGTCGTGGTTATGTGACCTCCTAGTATCCTGAAAATATCAAATATTAAAAACTCTGAGTTCTGACGTTTCTAATTCTGGACCTCAGAGTCTCAGACGCTGAGTTTATAAGTTAACATGTATATGCATTTTTGTATCAACTCGAATGATAACTATCAGCGTCACTAAAATTAAATGACGACACAGTTGTCACCAAGTATAATGTACGTGTTCCACTAATCGGTGACTGTTATATGACACCCGACCAACTGATCTCGAGCTCTCGAAGTTAATAAAGCCTCACGCATCAAGGTTTGGTGCCAGCTTACCCTTTGAATCTCTGGTCGTGTTGTACGTTCTCCATAGATTGAGATTGGAATATTGTCTTCTCCATTGAGAAACATGCGATTTTCTTTGTATCTGTTACTGAAATTTTGGGGAATTTTCAATTAAAGGTTATCGGACTAAAATATAAGTTAAAGATGGTCGGTGTTGGATGAGGTAAGGTTGAGAATATATCAGTTTGGCTCTGAGCCAATATTATATATCCTAGCAAGCCTATATCACTAATCACTAGACAAGAAAGTCTTTCATTAATTATGGCACAAAAGAGACGATGAGATATTGTGTATTGATCAGGTGGTCTGTATTATAGCTAGATACTCACACAAATAACTTGTTGGAAGATAGCCCCTTTCTCCCTTGTCAGTACAAACTAGAGCGCAGTTTCCCACTCGACCTGCAACGAAAGATTATTACAAATGTGGTCACTTACTGGTCACTAACTGGTCACTAACTGGTCAGTGCGTCCAAAAGTGTAGATATAGACTTACTTATACTACATAAGATATAAAACCTTAGTCATACTTATCAACCTTTATATTACTTATTAATTGGTATCGCAAATATTAGGTAACTGGTGCAGTATAATTTGAATCTTCTGTGAGTAACTGAGAAAATTAATCGAGCGAATAAATACATATTTTGCTTGTAGTCACAATTATTGAAACCGATTCGTTGCATTTGTTTTAACTCCCTACAAGGAAATGAAAACCCTGGCAAGAATTATGGCAAGTGAAACCAGGAAATTTTTCGATTTTGTCTGCTTATTAACTTTAATGATACCAAGCTAATAATTTGTTATATCATATCACCAGTTTGACGATAATATTACGAAAATTTAAAATTGTTGACCCTGTTTTTACAATCCATTTACCAGCATAATAGCAACAGTAAACGGTTGCTAGGTTACTAGGTTACCATGGTTACTATAGATGGTGTGCAGGTGCAAATCATGGCCAAATAAGAGTGGAGTCAGTTGATCCTGGAGTACTCTAATGGCTGTTGCGTAACTCTAGTGATTTAATTGGAGAGAAAGAGAGAGAGAGCAGCTGTGTAACTCTCTGTATATCGAGCTGGGATTAATTGTGGATGCAAGAAAGCTGGAGAAAACAGAAAGGTGCTCAGTACGGGGCCACGTGATGCCCGTGTAAGGAGTGTGGTCCTGTGGCGGCCACTCTCCGAGATTGTGATCATTCCTTCATTAAATCTAGTCCAATCAAATCTAGTGTGAGTTCTTATTGAGGCTTACGCGTTTGGCTTTATATCAAAAATCATGCAAGGGGATATGGTTTTACGGTAACTACAATCTAATAAAATCTTTGATAGTTTGAGATTTGTTAAATAAAAAAGTAAGGACGTCATGCAAGCTGTGAAGAATTCTGGATGCCGAATCAAAACTCAAACAGCTTATAATATCATGATGTAATTCCAGAGAATTCCACTAACCTGTGACAGGTATGAGTTAATTCTCACCTAGTTCCACTAGAAGCTGGCCGGTCTCCGTATTGACTTCATCGGAGCTCTCTGCAATGAACTTGGCACAGGACTTCCTGATGTTTAACTGCTTGCTGAAACTTTTAAATCCAGGTATTAAATCTGGCATTTGAAATGGTTTAAAGCTGATATGGCAAATTGGAATCTGTTTAAGGGTGCTAGTTAGGAATTATATTTTCTGGAAACTAATTTGTCACAAGCATTTCTGTACAGGAATGTGTTGTCCATAGTCCATACACCATAGTCCCATGCATCACCCAAAGACTTGTAAAGGTAAATTTGAAGAGCACAACTTGAACTAGCTAAGCATATTTTATCCAGGCGTCTTCGAACAAAATAGGAGGTTCAAAATAACTGCAATGCTCATATTATGGCAGTCTGATGATGGTTTGAAAGTGTGAATCTACTTTTAAAACTCTTTGGGGTGGTTCCTGGGACTATCATGGACAACACATTCCTGCACAGTAATGCTTGTGGCAAATAAGTTCCAAGGTGGTTTCATTTGTATGCATATTGTCCCTGTTTGACTGCAGTGTACATATAATAGCATTATTCTAAATTATAATTTATATAAGGCCTAAGGGTAATTATGTAATTATGTAATTTATCCTACTTGTCGAGAGATCTGGCAGCCTCGTAGAAGTTTCCTTCAGTACAGAGCTGAGAGAGGAGTTTCTCAAGCTCCCCCAATCTGTCCCTATCCGTCAACTCCCCGGTCAGCGGGAAACTGTGGGAAATAGAGTTCAGTTTCATGATATTTCTTGGAATTTAACCCTTGGGATCGTTCTCATATAACGTAGGCGAGATTATGGAGTGACGGGTAAAACTTAGGGAGAAGTCTAAAAATGGCGATCCTTTTTCTTTACGCTGCAGACGATTATCAAAGAAAAATGACAGGGTTACGTAATATCTAAACGATCTCTTAGTGTTATTAAAACAAGAACGAGAAGATCAGCCTTCGAGAAAGTGGCATTAAGTTATTAGCAACATTTAACTTCCAGTACCACCATCGTGGGTGGCACTGGTATATTATTAGTTGATTTGTCAGTAAGAAAGGTCGACACTTGAACTTATATATTTAATATATTATATGACATGTAACATGCACTGTTTTGCAGAGGTGTAATCAAATAAAAGTTGTTTATTAAGTGATAACTGCCACTTCAAGGCTCCATCCGAGGAATTATTAATAGCTTATTCGTGGACAAGATTAATCGTGAAATTGTTCTATAAATTGGCCTAATTTGATAAGTTTTGTAAATTTGACCATATCTATCACAGAACTACCAACTTATCAAGATGCGGGGACAAAACATTACTTTTACAAATACAACTACCAAGTATTCAATAAGACTTTCTATGTAATTACAAAACTAACCAGTCGCTCTCAGAGTCGCTGGGACAGCCGCTGTCGCAAAGTGAGGAGGTGGTGGGTCTGATCTTGGGTCTGTCATCCAGGAGCAGGGACTTTTCACTTGTACTCGGAACTGAAACGTTTGCGGAGTAAGCAGGAGGAATTTAGAGTGTTTACTTGTGTGAGATGGTTTAAGGAGTGAAGAGGAGAAATTGTTTGCAGTTGTACATGAGGAGTATGATTGATTGGATAGCATACAAATTTATTAATGAGTTACCACCTATTTGTATATAATGGTGCTTTATTTATTCTGCCACCTAAATAGAGGTAGCCACACGTAGTTTTGTTCACTGCATTGTTTATTATTGATCGCTAAACTCGTGTAATTGTCTTATGGGTGTTGTTCAGGGAAAATGTTTTAAGATATTTAATCGATAACTACGCCTTCAGGAACCTATGATCATTGCCAATATCATATATTCAATTTTACATAATGGGAGGGGGAATAATTAATGACTATTGCATTGTTCAGTCATAGACTTCTGATTAAGCTGTCAAAAGTCGACATGTTCCTGTTAGAAATTGATGAAAGTTAGGCAATGTAAATAAAAGATCGTTCACATATTACGTAATTAATATTTATTCCTCCCCGTAAACCACTTAGTTTAGAATAAATATTCTGTAGAAATATCAAATAACAATGCTTTTCTAATTCTACCCCCCCCCCCCCCCCCCCACCTCATTTTTTGACAATTTTTCCAGGTCCAAGATTTTCAAAATCGAATAAAAAATTTTCTAAGGCCTATCTCAAAATTCGGCTTGATTGGTCTCTTCTAAATAATCCCTAGAACATATCCTGAAAGTTTCAGGGTGATTGCTCAAAACTATATTTAATCATCCTATAGATGTGGATACTGGCGGGGAGGTGATAATTGTTTGTTTACATTAATAGTGAGCACATGTTAAGCAGGCTGAGGAGGTGATAATTGTTTGTTTACATTTTAGGTCGAGCACATGTTAAGCAGGCTGAGGAGGTGATACATATTTTGTATTATAGAAGGTTTGTAACACTTGTAACGCCTTCTTGTTACCCCCCTTTGAGGACCCCGAATTATTTTCTGAACGAAAGCTCAAAAATAACCGAGAAATCGACCTTCTTATTAACTCATTTTGATGACTGTTTCTGACCTAAAATTGCACGAAAAATCGATTTAGCTAGGTTTCAGAACCTATAAACACTTCCTTATCCCTCAAAATCGATCTTTTATAGTTAATACGAGCAACAAGCAACATATATTTTGATCCTTCGGTTCTACTCATGACCTAAGGAGTTAAGCTAAAACCGAAAGAGCGAGGTAATCCTCACCTTAACTGATCAAACTGGTACTAACACAATTTTCAGATAGAAATGTTCTTTGCGATACGTTTATTGCAGCTTTGCAACTTGAGTGAAGACAAGAGTACGAAAACACACAGCAGGTAAGCAACTCACTTTTGGTGACTGTTCCTCACGAACATTCTGATCCTGCAACATAACAACAAGGAGATCGTCTCCTTAACAAATTGAACAGGTAATATCACAATTTCCAGAGCAGAGCATGATAACAAAGTCAAAAGAAACATAATGAAGGTAGGTTACGAACACCACAATAATATAACAATCATACTAACAGCTGAATTTATTCTGACGACTGGCAGTCCTGATGTGCTCCGTGATCCTAAACGAGCGACCAATTGTAATAGAGGTGTTATGTCACGTGACACCGATCCGTCCAATCACAAACAGGAAGAGTAAGCGGATGGATATCGTATGTTTACTTTCCTTATCTGTATTTGACCCTCTGTTCAAATTGTTATCTCCACCAAAGCTTGGCTCGGCAAGGTCAGCGTGCAATATCGGCACCGCGGTACACACGCCATGATTACGTAATGAACTAAAAATAGTGTGATCGTTACAATATATAACCGTGCCCACTGCCCACGACCCCACGTACAATACAAACTGTTGGGGGGGGGTTGCTTACGATAGGCTGTGGTCGCTCCTCCAACTGACTGTGGTTCTTACCGTCCAATCATGAACAGAATATTAACATTGTTTAGTTATAGTGGGTCTATAACTATAGTGGGTCTATAACTATAGTGGGTCTATAACTATAGTATGTCTCGGTTGAACTGTGGACATTAGTATTATTAAGTTTTATGTAATAAGTGCGCTGTTGAAATGGTTCAGTGGACCCCTTTAGTTCGTTCACCAGCTGCATTTTATTTCGGTTCATGGGTTACAGCTTTGTTGTACGCTATTAAATTTAAGATTTTTATTTAAAATTTGAAGTGTCTAACCTGGTAAAAATATACTGCATCATGTTGAACTGGTAGGTAGTACTAGTTCTGGGTAAAAACATGTCCGTCCTTGTGTACACCGCAAGTGCCTGCTACTGTAACATACATTTCTTGTCAGAGAATTCGTGTCCTAGTTTCTGTTTTCAAACACTTACCGTCCCAGTTAAGCTAGGGAGCACTCATGGATATAATATATTCCTTTGCCTCCAGTTGGTGTAAGGCACAGTTCATCATTTGGAATCCCACTGAGTTCATAATCGCGACCACTTATTACATAAAACTTAATAATACTAATGTCCACAGTTCAACCGAGACATACTATAGTTATAGACCCACTATAGTTATAGACCCACTATAACTAAACAATGTTAATATTCTGTTCATGATTGGACGGTAAGAACCACAGTCAGTTGGAGGAGCGACCACAGCCTATCGTAAGCAACCCCCCCCCCCCCCCCCCCCCCCAACAGTTTGTATTGTACGTGGGGTCGTGGGCAGTGGGCACGGTTATATATTGTAACGATCACACTATTTTTAGTTCATTACGTAATCATGGCGTGTGTACCGCGGTGCCGATATTGCACGCTGACCTTGCCGAGCCAAGCTTTGGTGGAGATAACAATTTGAACAGAGGGTCAAATACAGATAAGGAAAGTAAACATACGAAACATCTAATTTCTAATTTCTAATTTCTACGATATCCATCCGCTTACTCTTCCTGTTTGTGATTGGACGGATCGGTGTCACGTGACATAACACCTCTATTACAATTGGTCGCTCGTTTAGGATCACGGAGCACATCAGGACTGCCAGTCGTCAGAATAAATTCAGCTGTTAGTATGATTGTTATATTATTGTGGTGTTCGTAACCTACCTTCATTATGTTTCTTTTGACTTTGTTATCATGCTCTGCTCTGGAAATTGTGATATTACCTGTTCAATTTGTTAAGGAGACGATCTCCTTGTTGTTATGTAGTTATGTTGCAGGATCAGAATGTTCGTGAGGAACAGTCACCAAAAGTGAGTTGCTTACCTGCTGTGTGTTTTCGTACTCTTGTCTTCACTCAAGTTGCAAAGCTGCAATAAACGTATCGCAAAGAACATTTCTATCTGAAAATTGTGTTAGTACCAGTTTGATCAGTTAAGGTGAGGATTGCCTCGCTCTTTCGGTTTCAGCTTAACTCCTTAGGTCATGAGTAGAACCGAAGGATCAAAATATATGTTGCTTGTTGGTCGTATTAACTATAAAACATCAATTTTGAGGGATAAGGAAGTGTTTATAGGTTCTGAAACCTAGCTAAATCGATTTTTCGTGCAATTTTAGGTCAGAAACAGTCATCAAAATGAGTTAATAAGAAGGTCGATTTCTCGGTTATTTTTGAGCTTTCGTTCAGAAAATAATTCGGGGTCCTCAAAGGGGGGTAACAAGAAGGCGTTACAAGTGTTACAAACCTTCTATAATACAAAATATGTATCACCTCATCAGCCTGCTTAACATGTGCTCGACCTAAAATGTAAACAAACAATTATCACCTCCTCAGCCTGCTTAACATGTGCTCACTATTAATGTAAACAAACAATTATCACCTCCCCGCCAGTATCCACATCTATTAACATAAACTATTAAAATATTAACCGGTTTTACATAAACTATTAAAATATTAACCGGTTTTACATAAATCTCTGCTATCTGCAGTACTGACAAATTGGTTTGTGCCGCGTGCTTGCTATTTTTTAGTTCATAGTTAAAAGGTTTGGTAAAACGCTGTCTGAGATGTTGTCGTTAAGCAGCTCATTCCACGAAATCAGAAACACAAATTATTGAAATATAACGATAAAACCTAGTATTAACGGTAATCTAGTATTAACACCTATCATTAATATTATCTACATGGTCGTACTAGTAATACTAGTACTAGTAATACTAGTAGTACTAGTAATACTAGTAGTATTTCGTAATTTACCGGCGCACCATTCCCTCCGCACGCATTCGTTCCACTTCTTCTCACTATACGTGAGACTGAGAGAAACGAGTCATAGACCAGCAAGCTGGCCTATGTAGTCGTAACACTAACAGTTTTAAAAGATTGCAACTTGTACCTGCTAGATTCTCTGAGAGTGCAGGATTTATCGAGTCTCTTTTGCAGGAGGATACACTTGAGGGTTTTGAGATGGCTTTACACTGCGTCACCTGGCGATCATCATTTTGATTATTGGCTAAATGCTAAAAGTAATTTCATTTTTGTAAATCAATCAAGGGTCCTTTTATTTTAAAATTAAAAAGGTACTTGAGAGAAAATTAAATGTGGCATGGCAAAAATTGTGGGTTAACATTACCAAACATAACAAGATTGATAATAATTCACTGTCGCTAAAACACGAACGTGAAATTTGGTTCGATTGCGAAACTTGGTTGAATTGTGTTTTAAGTTTGATTCCGTTTGGTTCTAAAAATATTTACAACAATATAATACATTATACTGACGTCAGAAAATTTTCGCAATCTGCAGATTTTTATTTACGTAAGATTTCACTGATGTTTAAAAGTTGTTTCCCAACAATTCGTCATGATCATGAATGTCTTTTATTTCAAAGAAATCAGCTCGGAATTTGATAATGGTATTGGTATTTGTACATGAAGTCAGTCATAGGTCTGGAAATTCTCCAAAAGGCGCCACGGTAAGTGCATGAGCTGTTTTAAGGAAAATTTCCAGCAGCCATGATAGCTATCACAGCTGAGTACACCCTTGCGATGTTGAAAATGGCATAATTGCTATATCAGGTCGGCCTTTCCAATCTTTAAAATTTCCCAATCTAGCCAAATTTGTTTTTAAAGAGAACTAGCCAAGGAGATCCGATGAAAATGGCTGATTATAGAGTAGTTCAGCAGGCAGTACAATTTAAATTGTTGAAAATGGGTTGCCTTTTTAGCCTTTTAGGGGACTTAACAAAAAGTCTTAAAAGCTTTTATTATTAATATTGGGGCTGCTCTAATAACTGACTGGCTTATTGCCAATATGGTGGAAATTTTGATAAAATCCATCCTTGGCCCCAATTCCTATATAGCGCGTTGTCGCCTTAAATGGAGACAGTTTACTTTAGAAAAAGAAAGGCTCAAATATTTTCTACCCTAAATTGTGGCTTAAACTTTGAACTTTGAACCTAAAGTAAATACATATCTACGATGTAGTGGTCTATCTGAAACAGTACCTCAATGCTGACATTAGATTCTTTATGGCACATGTTCAGCGGTACGAATCCCTCTTGACCCTGCTCGTCACGGACGTAAAGCCACTGATCGTGCTGTATCAGTACCCTGGCTCGCTCTTTCCTGAAAGATAATGTAGCCGTTTAAAGTTTGACAATCAAGCCTTTGGCTTTAGCAATCAGGCTTTTTATGGGCGCTTCTGTCTAGGTTTAATCGAAATTTAAACACGGGATCTTGTCAGTTTATCCGTAAATTTCGCGGAGTGGGTAATAATTGTTAAAGTGTTATTGCGGATAGAGATAACTTTCAAATAATCCGAGCCTGGAACCAGAAACTCTTTACCAAAATATGTTTGATGTTGCACGGGTCAGTCAAAGTAGAAAGCAGAATGTCTATCCGGAAGTGACAGTTTCATTATATATCTGATTGTCACCTGCACTGATCACTAATAACGCTTTTGAGATTGGATTGCTTACTTTTTGACAGAAAGCTCGTCTGACAAAGAAGATTGGTAGTCACTATCCATTATTACATGAGATCCTTGAGGTATTGGTTCCTGCGAGGGCATCAATATTATCGTTTAGATTAAGAACATCTGACAACCTTCAAGCAGATGGTGATGGTGATGGTGATGGTGATGGTGATGGTGATGGTGATGGTGATGGTGATGGTGATGGTGATGGTGATGGTGATGGTGATGGTGATGGTGATGGTGATGGTGATGGTGATGGTGATGGTGATGGTGACGGTGATGGTGATGGTGATGGTGATGGTGATGGTGATGGTGATGGTGATGGTGATGGTGATGGTGATGGTGATGGTGATGGTGATGGTGATGGTGATGGTGATGGTGATGGTGATGGTGATGATGGTAGTGGTGATGGTAGTGGTGATGGTAGTGGTGGTGGTAGTATGATAGTGGTTAGACAGATAAGTTTGTTTTTTAAGAAGTGAAAGAGAAAAATCTGAAAGAAAGATGAATATAAACCTGAGATGTGGGTAAAGTGGTGTCATCCGTCAAGTCCCCGCTGCTCAGGTACTTTTCAGAGATTTTGTTCTGCCAGTAGTCTTTTATCAGTGCCACATCATCCAGTGTCTTGTTCTTGTCCATAACATCTGAAAGTTAAAGATTTTTATCATCAATGTTCCAGCTGCTGAAGTACCAGCTAATGGTTTTCCTTTTCTTTTTATGTAAGATCTGATATATCGAGCCAGCTTGACAAGGTTTTATTGCTTTTGATGATGATTGCGTCAAAAATCGAATGTGAATTCTGAGGTATCCAAGCTGTGTTAGTAAATGATTAGATCGAGATTTAACTAATCCGTATGTGATATTTTACGAGACTCCAGTCTAGCCAAATCGAATTCAAATACTAATCGAGAGTTGGACTCAAGGTGTTTAACAATATCTGAAAAGTAGATAAATGTGAATTACCAACCTTTAATTCTGTCGAATATCTTTATCAGCCAACGCGGCTTCATCAGGCTGATAGATAGTTCAATTTAAAAATAAACAAATCCACACAATTATACTTTCTAATTCTATAGAGGGAAAATATTATATTTAAAATCAAGTACACGTGATTTATCGGCATGTTTATTTACAGTAAGTGTGACATTGTTACTTCAGATTGCATAGCTTAAGCAGACGAGATGTTTGACTTTGAAAACCACCGCAAAATAACAAAAATTGCGCCTGTTTTCTTGACGGTAGGCGGGTGATAAATTCCACAGCTATGCCGTGAAAGTTGGAGTTAAAGATTATACTTTAGCTTAGAGTTAGAGCTACCACTTTGATTCAAAAATCAAAAATCGTTCCCCATTGGCCATTACTGATACAGACGATATTTAGTCAAAAAGACGCAAGCCAACTTTAGAACATGAACTAGAACTAAAATAACACACGTCTGATCGAAAGGAATGTCAAGTTACCGGCTGATGACGGTGATCATATGACATATGATGAAAAGACAGACATAATCATCAGTCGACGTAACGGAAGCGAAATTGCCTCTCTCTAAACGAATTGACGTCTTCGATTTTACAGGAACCTTTTTGAATGAAGAATCATCATAAATACATATATTATATTATTATTATCATAAATACAAGTGCTAGATGTAAAAGAGAAAAGCAATTTTATGGACTCTGAAGAATAAGCTTAATATTATGCTAACGTATTACGAATTACGTTAGCACAATCAGTATACCTCTTGTTACAACTGAAAGTACATGTCACAACTACTTCCCCAAATGCTGCTTACGTACTTATGCTTACGACAATATCTTGACATTGATCATTCAGTTCAGAGATTGCGACAAAATGTAGGCGAGGAATTAGGATTTTGAAATTCTAGTACAAGGTTTACAAGGTTTACAAAAATAGATCTATATTACAATGAAGATAATGTCAGATCAGCGTTGCTAACACATCAAAATCCGAAATCCAAGTAAAAATCCGTTTCCATTAAATTATTTAAACCAAAAATATCAATTCTGTTCTATATATCGTTCAAGTTATTAGCTTCCAAAAGAAAAGCACGAAAAACCTTACAGAAAATCAATGTGAAATGTGAATTTGTTTTTGATTTGTCCTTGTGTGTGTTCTCCTTTAGTGCAAATGTAGAGGCTAGAAGTAGAATACAGTACCAGCCATTGACGTATAGTAATCCTGGACCTATGTGGCAAGTTTGCTCCCCTGAACAAAAACAAACAAAAATCATTGACGTTAGCTTGCGTTATAATCCTACAGTAAAGCCTTTTGTTCAATATTTCTGATGTTTTCTAATCAAACCCAACAAAGGAAAAGATTTTACTGTACAACTATAAACGTCACGCTAAAACGTAAAACAGCATATTCAACATGAAAACACTAATCCATTGAATGAGACTCACTAACTCACTAACTCACTAACAGTACAAGCCTACGTCAAATTAAAGTAATGTCATTATTGTTCTAAGAGTGCAAACTTCGAGACAGCTAAAATAATATAACTGCGGAGACAGTTGTTAAGGAAAAGGAGCAAAATAGCTTAAGATATTTATATTGGACCCTCTGAGACCGATATGGAGAGTTAGAGTGAGTGTACGTTGGACAACTATTTTAAGTAGCTTACGTCCGGTATTGCACCACCGCGTAACACGACCAGTATTGCACATTAAATTTGAGAACTGAAAAGTATTGGGCCCGACCGGCCAGAAGTAGATATAGTTCAGTCGAACAAGGTCTTAGTTGAACAACTGACCAAAACAGCTGAACTGAGCAAACGACACTTTAACATAGGTGGAAATTCAAATTTCAAACAGAGGACAAATAAGCAAAGTTATGATGGGCTATCAGGACACAGCCCATTAGCATACTTCCAGACGGTAGCAAACAACTCCAATTTCGAAACACAAGACTGTGAACACTGCCCAGGGGAAGCAGAAACATCACAACACTTCCTATGTGAATGCATCCAGCTGATGACAACTAGAATGAGGATATTTGGTAAACCCATCCTAACAATTGAGGAACCCATCAATAGTAAACTCGACCACATTATCAAATTCGTGGAACAGTCAACAAGGTTTGACAGAGACGATCTATTTGGATAAGCATCTAGGACATACACCAAGGTTCATAAACAATCATACACTAGACCCACACAGGACTATCTCAGATAGTGATACATATTCAGGTGTGGACCATGCTCGGAAGTCCCTCGCCTGCCCGCTAAAGAAGAACATCTGAAGTGGGTTTGCTCTGAGCAAGGTAGTAACAGCTTCGAGACTCCAGAGGTCTGTTGCGTTGATATCTATCTATGTTTTTGTATATACTTAGGGAGTCCTGGAGTGTGGCTAGCAGGAGTCACACTCTGTGGGCACGGCGAGAAGGCCTCCCTCTTCACTAGGAGGCCAGAAACCGTTGACCAAAACAGAGAGAGAGAGAGCTATCAGTTTCTAGACCTCGCTCTGAATCCTGACTAACTTGTGCACGTAGATTTTAGATATTACGTGCACAATGCCCTAGTTGTAGTGAATATATTTTTGTATTTCTTTCCACTTTAAGGTATTTATCAGGAAAGCTTTTAAAGACTGAACTTCAAACTTCAAGTTCAACCTAAAACAATTTTTAAGGGAACGTTGGGCAGCGAAAACTTATGGCAGATAAGGTATTCAATCCACAAACCTTCAAAGATACGAACGTTAGATGTAGTACAAGATTTACAACAGTCAAGTGATCGGGAAGGGTCCACACCAATACTTGCAAAGCAATCAAATTAGATGAATATCTTGTGTGGTAGGTAGCTGTATCTTCTAGGCTTACTTACGTGAGAGTATTATACAACCTTCTCTCGAAGATCAGACTTTCACTTAGAGAGAAAAATATCAGAGAGCAGAAAGAAAGAGAGAAGAGTCAGAGGTCCTGCTTTAATGTTTACTGTAACCACAAATGGTACCAAAGCTGACAAAAAAGCTGGCATTAAATCAGCGGTTCTTTCTCCAAAAGTTTCGCTAGCAGTAACAGTACCTTGTATGGTTCTATCCATTTTTTATTGAACTATACAGTTTTAATTCAAAGCGATTTGCAGACGCTCTATTAAAACATAAGGACAAAGACTAAAAGTAAAACTAGTACTAAAAGAGGTATTTAATTTGTGTTGGGTTCAGAAACACAAGTTAATATAATATGTGGGCGACGAGCGAAGTTCGACATGTTGAATTAAAATTTGAGAGCTTAGAGTACTGAATGGTGCTTATGTGGTTAAACTCAATGAATCCTCGACTAACTCGTGATCAGTTATTCTGCGAGTAAACAAATGAATTTAAGCACACAAGCAACTGGCAATGCAGTGCAAGTTCGTCCAGTAAATGGTATCAGTAAAAATAGTTTTGACGGTAACCGTAAAGCTGGCTATATGAACTCTTGAAATGCGGCGGTGGAGCCACTCCTTTTATTCACCTCCCAATATGGTATAAACATCCACTCAGAACAGCTTGACAGCAAATCTTTCTACGCTTATAATGTACGAGAGAGAGAGAGAGAGAGAGAGAGAGAGAGAGAGAGAGAGAGAGAGAGAGAGAGAGAGAGAGAGAGAGAGAGAGAGAGAGAGAGAGAGAGAGAGAGAGAGAGAGAGAGAGAGAGAGAGAGAGAGAGAGAGAGAGAGAGAGAGAGAGAGAGAGAGAGAGAGAGAGAGAGAGAGAGAGAGAGAGAGAGAGAGAGAGAGAGAGAGAGAGAGAGAGAGAGAGAGAGAGAGAGAGAGAGAGAGAGAGAGAGAGAGAGAGAGAGAGAGAGAGAGAGAGAGAGAGAGAGAGAGAGAGAGAGAGAGAGAGAGAGAGAGAGAGAGAGAGAGAGAGAGAGAGAGAGAGAGAGAGAGAGAGAGAGAGAGAGAGAGAGAGAGAGAGAGAGAGAGAGAGAGAGAGAGAGAGAGAGAGAGAGAGAGAGAGAGAGAGAGAGAGAGAGAGAGAGAGAGAGAGAGAGAGAGAGAGAGAGAGAGAGAGAGAGAGATAGAGAGAGAGAGAGAGAGAGAGAGAGAGAGAGAGAGAGAGAGAGAGAGAGAGGGGGGAGGGAGAGGGAGAGGGAGAGGGGGAGGGAGAGGGAGAGGGGGGAGGGAGAGGGAGAGAGAGGGAGAGAGGGGGAGAGAGAGAGGGAGAGAGAGGGAGAGAGGGGGAGAGAGGGAGGGAGAGAGAGGGAGAGAGAGGGAGAGAGAGGGAGAGAGGGGGAGAGAGGGAGATGGTTTTCACGAATGATGCCAGGTTAGCAGGTAAAATGTCGTCGTAATTCTTTTTTCTTCGATATATTCCACAAGGTAGTAAATATTATCATATTTAGAGAGCGTGTAAATACCCGTCAGCTACAATCTATTCCCTTCACTTTCTTCAGACACATATTGATCTAGTAATGTAATCAACAATAAACATTGTGCCCCGCCAAATATACACGATTGTTAATATTACTATTAGTATAACAGGTACTACCGAGGAGAAAATATTATCAGGGGGTTTCTTAATGATTACGATAGTTTTGTGAGTCAGTGGCGTAACATTACCGACCATTTGGCATGGGATAAAATTAAAGCTACTGCACCGGCACTTGATCTTATTGTGTCAAATTAAAAAGAGAATACTGTTTACTTTCGCTTAAATAAGATTTTGTCAAATGGCGTAATGCGGTAACGCGTTACCATGGTTACAGTTGTGAGTTGGCGCCACCCCTGCTTATTATATAGGTGATGTACATTGTGCATTGTGCTTCAACATTCTTTCATAGGCTTGCCTAAATCCTGACTACCCAATAACCATAAGAGGGCGATATATTGATTAATTCGCACTCTTATTTATTTGTTCGCTCTATAACTATAAGTATAACGACGAATTCGGAATCACCGCGTTCTTGGTTGAGACTTGAGACACTATAAAAGTATAAAGCTATAAGAACTCATTTGGACTTGGAGTATTCAACTAAAAGTAAAAGTGGCACATAATGGAACTCTTGATTCTTGTTAATTCGCTTGTCAACAACCATCATGTGCAATGTGACTTGGTTTTGTATGATTTTGCAGCCATACAAACCCATTTCTCTGTGTCATGCATGGGGTGATTCGGATCTACGTTTATAACTAGCCTCTCACCTCTCGGGCGATAAAAATTTAAACGTTTTATCATATAACTCCTCAGATAGGCGTTTTGCCTATTATGTCATGGGAGTTATTCAGAATCAGAATCAATTATATTTTCACAATATTACGCAAACCATTTTATGATAATTTAAGACACCCCTCCCGGCCCCCACGTAAGCCTTTGACACACAAAGCTATTTTGTAGAACTTAAGCAAGCTACGGAGCTACCCGTACCCCAAACCTCCTCCGTAATAGGCGTATATTTCTTATTTATGGAAAGCGCAGGGACCTTCCAAAACTGAGTAATTTGAATGAGTTATGACTCTATGAAACTATGGACTGGGACAACACATTCTTGAAGACAAACCTTTGTTACGAATTTATTCACAGCTTAATATTATATTCCTTCCCTAAAAATAAAAAGCTAATGAGTTTGAAAATTATATAAATCAATATATATAAATCAAAAAACAATCGATTAAAATATTTACCACAATTAATATAAAACACCAAATACTTCTGCAGTCTTAGATGCAGACAAGAACAATGAAATCATAGAATTCATTAATTCAGCTAATAGTGTCCGGATCACCATACATTCCCGACCAAGTGTTTTTATACTCATGCTTAAAGTCAGGATTTAATAATTTAAATTGTTTAATATTTTCCACGTGCTCTGCACATGGGTACTGGAAGAGCAAACAGTCGTCCTCGTAAAGGTAGAGCAGACCGTCCAACTGTTCCGTTGACAGGGTGGAGTAGTAGCTGTAGAACATCGTCATATTCAGGGCAGGGGTCTGGTTTGTCATCCATCTCTCACTGTTTTTCTGAAGAGATTATTAGGTATATTTTCTCATAAAAAATTGTTGTATGGGAAATGGCCTAAAGCTGAAATGAATCCGTTTAGTTTATATAGTTTCTTTTGTTTACTTACGACAAGTCTTAGGTTGCCGGTTAAGTTGAACATATTTTTCAAATCACAGTCAAATGTTTCCGCTTTCAGTAGGAAATTGTACCTGAAATTTGTTATTGTATAAACATCGTTCCTTGGTATAGGGCATAAGTGAGACGCTGATAAAAACTTAGAAAACCATCTTTGTTGGTAGCGATATAGTTTTTTATGATATATTCTCCAAAAGTTACATAAATTATGTTGCTTACTGAGTTGAACCACATGGACCACATCTCTGACTAGCTGGAATGATGTGATTGTTCTTCCAACCGGCTATCGTTGCATCCACAATCTCCTTAAATGTGGGATATGGTGGATATAAATATGGGTTGTCTTCATCTGGTTTCCTCTGATTTTTGCCCTCTGTCATTGATGCCGCATAGTTCACTGCCATGTAAGCTGCCGTCCTCTTATCAAATTTAGTAATCCATTTTATTGGTCGATAATCCATCATGAACTCGACGAAAATTTGTTTGTAGGCAATCGAGTGGCTTAGTAGCTCCACTTTGTTTCTGTAGTTGGAGAGCATTCTTCTGAAAGGATCTCGCACGACTAGGAATCGTTTCTCGTCTTTAGACGGAGGATCCTTAAGAGAAATTAGCGTTACAAAAATGATTGCACTATTTACTTTAGGGAATCATAATTAAATGATTATGGTACTAAATTTTGGTATTCTTTCGGTATTTTGATCCCTGGAATTAAGTCCAACATAGATATGCATCTCCTAAAATACTAAGGTAAACACCATTCAGAAATCGTCCGTACCCACTAACCTTTTCTTTGAAGTCCTCTAATTCTCTAAAGCCTCCTTCGAAGTTCTTCATTTTAATATGTTTATCCTGACATGTTTCGTCATCAAAATAGTCGCTGCAGAAATGTGCAAACACGTTTGAGGACGCTGCCTTGTACACTGGACACCATCCCAACAAAGATTTGCTGAAAAATTGAAAGTCGAAATCGAAAATGGAAAACTAAATTTAGTGTACAATCTCAAACTAAAGCCCGAAAAATCGATCATGTATTGCATCGAAAATTTTGACATTTATAGAGTTATACCTGTACAAAGTACAGTTAAAACTTTATATACCTTGCCTCTTTAAACCGTTATTTGGGCGGACGTTACGAGGAAGCTAAGTACTCCAGCGTCCAATTTATAAATAAAGTCCCCAAGAAAAGTCAGCTTTCCATATAAACTTAATATTTCTGTTGTAAGCTATAGTTAGATGTGCTTACGGAAAGTAAAACATCTCCAAGATTTCAGAAAGTTTAGATCTGACAGTGTTGTTACATTGTGACTGTATCCATTCCAACTTTCGTTCGTTTTCTTCCGCGAAATCTCTGAATAAAACATTTGTTCGGCGTGAGTGGATCCCAAGCGTTATAATTTACACTTTATGATGTAACGTTTATGCAACAAATGGTTGAGATATTACAAAATTAACTCATTAAAATCTTATATATGAGGGTCAAAATATCAGAATATCTCACTCTGTGTTAGGACACAATTGGTCAGTTTGAATAAACTCCTCAGTTTGGGGTAGCTGTAGAGACACAAGGGAGGTTTCAAGCTTTTGGTCGCTTGGAGTTTTAGGACCCCGATCATTAAAAATATGGGTCCAGGCTATCGTAGGAGTAGGGTCAGGTTCTTCATTATCATGACTCTCTTGTACAACTGTGACGTTCTGAATTCAGTATTTATATTTATAGAAAACTTGGTTTCTTAGGTATTTAGTGTATGCTAGTCAAGCTCTAGTCACGAAGCACGAACGGCAGGGCGTACCGTAAGGTAGAAATGAAACGAGTATATTAAAATGGATAATTAATTAAATGGAAAAGTAATACAAAGTGAACGTCAACAGATAAAAACTTCTAAGTGTTCGCTCCAATCAATTGACGTGACTAATAGATCACTCGACGTGTCTAATCACAAATGGTAGTGCTCAGTAAGACTGGCTACCGTCAATTTGAATCCCTTAAAATGATTAAGGGGCAACTAAGAAGTCCGCTCTCCACTTCCGGCTCTCCGGGTATACTCTCAAAATCTACGTCACGCCACACTGCGTGACGGCACAACGCATCTGCTTGCACCACGTGACACGCTGTCTCGCCAATGAGCACTCCACTAGCAGTCACCCTGTGTCCGCGAGGACCAACCACAGGTCTGGCTGTTAGTCAGGTGCAAAGTGAGCGGACGGCTCGTTACAGACAGTTAGTCTGACAGTAGTTCTGCCAGCCAACCGACTTACACTCAAAATGTGTAACTCCCAAATACGAACATATAAAAACATTGGTTAATATATATACCCGGAAACACATACTAAATTCTACGTCCCGTAAACGTTATACTAAAACTAAGATATCCTATAAGATATCTCTAAATACCATATTACAACATCTCTAAAATGTTTGGTAGTAAAGGGACCGTTACACATTTCCGGGTAGTGCGACATTTCGTGTAATAGTTTAAACTGTTTAACAGTTGGTTTAGAATTTAGAAAGTTTTGGTTTGTATTTCATTTTACACGAGTTGACTGTATTTGGTTGACTGGCAAACCTGCTGTCAGACATTACTGCCATATTGTGGTTGGCCGCGCTTGTGCACCTGACTTACAGCTAGGCCTGTGGTTGGTTCTCGCGACCACAGGGTGACTGTCAGTGGAGTGCTCAGCGTCTAGACAGTGTCTAGACGCTAGTGCAGGCTGGCTGCGTTAGGCCGACACGCGTTGTGGCGTGACGTAAGTTTTGGGAGCATACCCGGAGAGCCGGAAGTGGAGAGCTCACTTCTTAGTTGCCCCTTAATCATTTTAAGGGATTCGATTGTCAATAGCCACTTTTAGTGTTGCTATTTTTGCTCGTGATCCTTCTATTATCACCTATATTCAGTATAGTTTCGATTAGATCCTAACGTTGTCATTTGCTAAGCTAAGTTCGGTGTACATCGCAGTGCAGAAGAATTACGTGGAGATTGTTCGAGATCTTCAGTACTTCCTACTAGATTTGGTAAGTGTTGCTACACATTTTGTGGTACCTGTATATTCCAGTTGAGTGCTATCGTTTTAACGAGCACCTAGTTTACAGCCGTTTGTGAGCTTCAGTACTGTTAAATCTATATAGATAGCTCGTATTCGTGAGATTAAGCTACCATGAGAAGTGATGATCGTAGGAACACGTATGTTTGGTCACGTTATCAGCCAACTCGCAACGTGGGTAATTCTAATAATAGGGGATTACGTAACGTTCGTCATCAGTTTGAAGGTTGTTGGGAGTGTGGTGATATAGGACATTTTCAGAGAAACTGTCCGAGCAGATTTGCTGGTAATAGAGGTAGATATCAAGACAGAGGGTCTTCATATCAGAGTGGTTATGGCCAACAGAGTTGGAACAGAGTGTATAGACCTAACAGTCAGGTGCCTTTAAACTTCTAAAGGGTGGCCCTAGATTTAAGAGGAGGTCACCCGCGGTCAAAAACACACGCATTTATGAGATTGTAATGAGATTTTCGAAAGTGACGTCTTTTGTCATCAGGAAGCTTCAGGAGCTTGCTAACTGTACTTTTACCATGAAGCATATCTCGGGGAAGAGAAACCAGAAGTGTGGTGGATTTAACCGCTATAAATACCAGGGTTATGGTAAATCTCGAGGCACAACAATTTAGGTTGTTGTAATTTCTTTGAGGCACATCTCCAGCTCAAGGATAACTATAAACCTAGATGGGTTCCATCGAGAAGGATTCCGTTTAAGCAGCAGCCGGAAATGGATAGACAGATTAGAGGTTTGCTTAGATCTGGTGTAGTTGAGGAATGCCCTGACCACTCTAATTTTAATTCTCCCCTTTTCCTGGTGCCATCAGGAGATCGCTCTAGATTAGTTGCGGATCTGAGAATGGTAAATTTAGAGCTTCAGGATGATTTGATGGAGCTGCCTAACTTGAACCACATTTTAGACAAAGTGGGCGATAAGAATCTGTATTCGACAGTGGATTTGAGTAAATCTTTTCACCAGGTTCCGTATACCAAGGAATCCAGGCATGTCACGGCGTTCATGCACAATCAGAAACGGTATCAGTTTGCTAGAATGGTCATGGGCCTGAAATCTAGTTCAGCTACGTTTACTAGAATGGTCATGCGGTTGATAAACGGTCTGGGTATATCAGATGCGTTAGCATTCTTCATAGATGATTTACTGATATTCACGCGTGATGTAAAATCTCACATTCAGATACTGTCAGTACTCTTTGCTCGTCTTAAGTTGGGTAATCTGAAACTAACACCTCGTAAGTGCAGATTTTTACGTGAGGAGGTTGAATATGTCGGTATTACTCTTACTAAGGAAGGAGTCAGGATGAACGACTCTCGTATAGAGCATATTAAGAGTCTAGAACCTCCCAGTAATAGAGCTGAATTGCAATCAGTTTTAGGCATGTTGAATTATTCCAAGAAGTTCTGCAAGGGATATTCCGAGATAGCACGTCCTCTCTATGCGTTACTTCGTAAGAACAAGGTATTCGAGTGGACCGAGGATTGCCAGATTGCATTTCAGAAGTTACGTGACATGTTGATATCTAGTCCTGTCCTAGCATTTCCGGAGGTTAGTGATCCGGAAAATAGTTATGAGGTAACTTTGGATGGTTCTAAACACGCATTTGGTGGTACTTTGACTCAGTGGATCAAGGGTAAGAGGAGGGTAATTGCGTACTTTTCTCGTAAGGTTCCGGACCACAAGCGGATATGGCCGCAAACTCAGATTGAATTTGAGACTTTATATCAGACTCTGAAACATTTCTCGGTTTACTTACGTGGCGTTAAAAACTTCACGGTTATCACAGATTGTCTGCCACTCTTGAATATCACGACAATATTTTCTAAAATGTCATCTTCGGTCATCAGGAAGCTTCAAGAGCTTGCTAACTATACTTTTACCATGAAGCATATCTCGGGGAAGAGTAACCAGATGTGTGATGGACTTAGTCGGTATAAGTATCAGGTTTATGGTAAATCTCGAGAAAATGTTGCGAGCATTGGTCATAGTTCCACTTTTAGTCTTGATGCTGCGTTAGAAGGAGTAAACCGGGTGAGACGTGAGCATTATAGATGTAAACACCCGATACTGTTTAAGAGGATGCAAGTACCGGTTAGCAGCGAGACTGTGGTTGATGATGATTGCAGTAATCTGATTGAGGAATCTTGCAATGAGGTGAGTGTTGAGGACAGTATGATTCCGGGGTTCTTGTTTGATGAAAATAGTGAAGACCCGAGTATTGTAAGCATTGTTCAGATTACGCCTGAGGTTGATAGCCGTCATTGCAATTGTAGTCTGACCCAGGCTGATCCTATTCCTACAGAGGAAGCATCAGTAGTGGAGATGGTTTCAGCGGTTACTAGTGATGTAAGCTCACTAGAGAGAGGGGTCAAATTTCTTAATCCTACCAATGAGCAGATTAAACAGGCTCAGAAGGATGATGATATTTTAAACCAGGTCTACAGTTGGGTTACCAAGGGTGAGAAACCTGTTGCCATTCAGACTAGTAAAATACCTCAGGAACTGTTGAGTTATTGGAAACAGTTTGATCTTATAAGTATCAAGGACGGGATACTTAAGAGACGTTGGACTGAAGTGAGGGATCCGGAGGGAAGTAGAGAGTTGATCATAGTCCCCGAATCCTTGCATGAATCTGTCCTGGACATGGTGCATAACCAGGAGACTGCACATGCTGGAGTAGAAAATTGTCTTGAGCTCTGTAAACGACATTTCTACTGGCCGAAAATGGGTGAATGTTTCAAATTGTGGATCGCAGCATGTTGCAAGTGTGCAGCAAGTAAGCCACCTCAGGCGTACAATAAGGCACCCCTCAAGCACATATTGTTCCACTCATTTAACTCAGCAATTTGTTTCGATCATATAGTTCCTGAGAAGGTTGGTGCTACACCTAGAGGTTATAAGTATATTTTGACTATAACTGATTGTTGGTCAAATTATGTGGTAGCTATTCCTACTAAGACCCAGACAGCTAAGGAGAGCGTGTCCTTGATTCGTAGGTTTTGGATTGATCGTTTTGGCCAGCCTAGGTTCATGATGGCTGATAATCATCCGGGGTTTAGAGCTAAGTATTTCGAGACCATAGCTCAAGCATTAGATTGCAAGTATATTCATGGCCAACCGTACGTTTCTCGTAGTACAGGTAGAGTTGAAAGAGCAAACCGTCGGTTGAATACTGCTCTGAGAACCAGCTTACCACCGGGACGATACCAGGATTGGGATCTTTGGTTATCTAGAGTAGTCTTTGTACTTAACTCATTGCGAAATCGGCACACAGGTTATTCTAGCAACAGGTTGGTGTTTGGTCGTGAGTTAAACACACCTTTAAGCCTGCTAGCTGAGAATCGTAAGGATTTCGAGCTAGAGCCTATGAAGGAGAATGAGTTTGATGTTGAAGCGTACGAGCTGTACAAGAATCTCAAGTTTATCACCAGGAAGGTGAGGGTCCAGGCTGAGCGTGATTTTTGCTATGCACAGAGATATCACGATAAGCACGTTAAGGGACCATTCTTTGAGGAAGGTGAGGAAGCTTTTGTTTTGATAAATTGTCCAAAGCACAAGTTCGGTCCTCGTTGGGTTGGCCCGTATAAGATCTCTAAGAAGATAAACGATCACTTGTACTGTTTAGATTTGCCTGATGGAGAAA